TAGAAAATTTATTCTCAGTAACTAAACAAAAATGGAAGGTAAAAACTTAGCATCTGGAAATTAAAGGAAAACAGTAAGCATGAAAGAAATGGAAGAAAGATGTCAAATTTGAGGAACAGGAAACGGAAAGGAGCTTACTTAAATGACAAAGATTGCTTCCTTATTCCTGATAACTATAATAGCAATGAAATACAATGCCTTCAAATTGGCAGCAACTAATAGTGAATCTCAGTCAAATTGAAAGCCATCTTTTAACCTGTAAGACCCTGGATCACCGTGGGCACTTCAAGGGACCAGCATACTTTCTTGTGTGAATGTAGCTGCCCACCTACATAAAATGTACCAGTCCCAAGTTTTAGTTTACATCAATAAACAAGTCATTTCCACACCACATAGATGAACAAATACACATCCTCGTGCATTTAAAATCTGTTGCCGCAATGAAAGGTAAGAAATAATTCCCCTTGCATTGAGAAGTGACAAACACCATTTGCACACTTTAAACGATTTAAAAGACATTTTAATCATATCATTTACTGTCCATAAAAAAATAGATTTCCCTAAAACTTTGGGCAAGATGGCAAGGTGACAAATTTTGGGACAGATTGGGTAAATCCACAAAATAAAGGATCTTTAATCTGATCAAAGAAGAATATCCTGGAATCAAAGTGATCTTTAACATGATCAGAGAAGAGTATCATGGCAGCAATCACATTAAATAGTGATAATCTTCAAAGTCATTACAATGTCCTCAATGTAAAGAAATCAACACATTTTGATTTTTTTATCAACTATAGCTGAGCACAAGAAATGGAAACTTTGAGGCTCCTATTAGCCTGTAATAGCAGTATAGCACCCTCTGATATCTTGAAAACCTTAAACACTTAAGAAAGTATCAGTTTCAACTCAGGAAGCGAATTGGCAAAACGCAAATGTCAACTTATGATGCGTCTACTACATTCATTCACCATGCAGACAAAAGCATCAAGGTCGCGGCAAATACATATTGCCATTATTATAAGACAATCTATATATGCTCAGTTGATGTTTGGATCAACCCATTAGGGAACATTCATTCCAAATTTGGGGGAAAAATCACCAAACTCCTAAGTCTATGGCCTTTGTTTTCTCCCAAGCTTCTTGGTCCACACCCTGCCATTACCCCACCACTTCATTCCCTATCATTTTCCATGGTTGAAGACCTTTACAATGTGGGAAAACATACTAAACCAAAACTATTTACAAAACAAACAATTATATGAAAGAAAAGATCAATCTCACATCAACCAAATGGTTCAAATGGAGATCAAGATTTAGTAGCTAGCCCTTCAAGACAAGACTTCAAGTCAACAACTGCACATAGTCTGCACTTCCCAGAAGCATTAGCAAACATTGGCCATCCAGTAAGAAGTTCACCTATCAAAATCTTAGAACAGTAACCTTCGAAATATTTCATTTGTAGTTTGATTCTCTCTGATTATTTCGAGATATATTCACAAATATGTGCGTGCATGAATGTTTTATACTATTTGGGGTTTAAAAAAAAAAAAAAAAAAAAAAATACCTTCGGTAGAATTTCGTCTAAAATTTAACCTTGATCCCACGTTGGATGATTCTAAGCATGATTATCATCAATTGACATTCAAGTCAACATTTTCAATCAGAATTTTTACCAAAACCTTGAGAATTTTCCTCAAAATGAAGAAGTGGAGGGTAGAATAAGGACAGACGGTGGCAAAAACAGTGGAATGGTTGGAAACGCTGATGTGTACGGCGGCGAAAGCCACCTGCCCCGACCGGGGGTTTAAGGGCAGGAGATTGGGGCAGCTTAATTGCACTGCTCGTCCTCTCTCAGTTCGTAAGTCGCATTTCAACCCCAAAGGCTTTTGAAAATTGGAATAGTGATGAAATAAGTTATGAAATTATGTGAGGAAGTGCAATTAGGTTCTTAAAGCTCTTGCAAATGGAGTGCTATGTGACAACCCGCTAGATTTGTGACTTCTAGTTAAAAGTTGATAGTTTATGTATTGAGTTTTTGAACCATTTATCATGATTTGTAGTGTGTTGGGATATGTATTATAAGTTATAACAATGTCAAATTGTAAAGTGATTCATTGATAGTTGTGGAAAAGATTAGACATGGGAGGTAATGACAAGGACTCATTTTTACATTTCATTAATGCCATTAGGGAGGCATTGAACAAGGATGGGAGGTGTTGCATTTTTCAAGGTTATTATCGGAATTGGCAAAATTTGAGAGGAGTGGATAAAAATGAACATGTTTTAAAATCTTGTACATCTTTAGAAAAATTTCATTAGAACTTGCATTTGTGGTAAAAAAAAAAAAAAAAAAAATGCAAGTCCCAATGGGATTTCTTAAATTAATGAAAAGTATTTTTTTTCGTGTGAAATACGAGAATGCAAGTACAACTTGCATTTCTCGTATTTTGCATCGTATGTGAGAAACGCAAGTCGTACTTGCATTTCACGTATAAATACGACAAACGCAGGTACAACTTGCGTTTGTAAAAAAAAAAAATTATTAATATATTGTGAGCAATGTCAAATTTTACAATTTTATAATTTAAAAATAAAATAAAATATAATAAGTATACATCACGCTAGACTGACGTGACCATCACGTTAGTTTGGCGTGACATAATCACGTCAGCCAGCAGACTTACGTGTCACGTCAATCTACTAACTGATCACGTCACCAGTCAGCAAATTGATGGGTCACGTCAATCAACAGATTGAGGTGAATTTTTATTTATTTTATACTATTTAAACCATGAAGAGGACGAGGAGGGACTCAAGGTACTGAGGAATGAGTAAGCTTTGACGCTCTATAGTAATGAAGTCAATATGCAATAATCTTCCACTAATTCCTCTCACCACTTTGATCACTCCAAATTCAGTTCTCACCGGCTCTTTCTCTTCATGCAAAATGAACATCTTTTTTTCCTTGCTTCTCTCTTATCCTTCAAACTCTCTTTTTCCTCTCGCTTCATGCGCACCGCCAACCGTTAGTGTACAATACGCAACCAAAACCAACACCAAATGATATGTTGCTTTCCCATTTAATTTTAATTTGCACTCACTCTCCATATTTAATTTGCTTTTCTGATGAGTTTAATTTTTTGTTCTTTTTCTTTGTTCGGTGTGGAAGGTTGAAACGGTAAGGAGATGTAGGTTTATGTAGAGTTGGGGAGACAAGTGTAAGCGTTTAACACTCCATTTTTTTGACAAACACAAGTCTACTTGCGTTTGTCATATTTATATGAGAAACACAAGTACCCACATACGATTCGAAATTATAGAGACTTGTGTTTCTCGTATTTTGCACACAAAAATATATTTCATTAATTTAAGAAACTCCATTGGGACTTGCGTTTTTTTATCACAAAAGCAAGTCCCTATGAAGTTTTTCTTTTAAATGTACAAGATTAAAAATATATATATCCATTTTGATCCACTCCTCTCAAGTTTTGCCCATTCCAGTCAATAATCTCTTTTTTCATATCCATAGTGAGGTAAATTATTGTATGGGTCGAATTTGATGGCAACATATTTAAAGAGGGGGTGGGAAGCCTATTTTCAAAGGATATCATTGGAGTGGCATGGCCACATTTGTGTAATTGTTGTTGATTCTTTCCCTTGCGTTAACAAATGAATAAATAAGAGTTAATTTCACCAGAGGTCCCTTGTCTTTGGTGGCAATTCCAAATTTAGTCTCAAACTATCGTTTTTGCCATTTAACATCTCTAGACTATTATTTTTTGGACACTTTTAGTCCTTCTAATCGCTTTTCCTATTTTTAGTAAGGGAATTTTTGTTTTCATATTTTTCTTTTATTATTTTCCGGTTTCAACCGGTCTCTGATTTTTAGTAATCATATGTGTCCAAAAAATAATAGTCTATGGATGTTAAATGGCAAAAACGATAGCCTAAGACTAAATTTGAAATTACCACTAAAGACAAGAGACCTCTAGTAGAATTAACTCAATAAATAAGTAAGCATCACTTTTAGTTGTTTACTACGGAGTATCAAATAAATTATGTAGGATATTTAAGTACAAGCAAAATTCAGAATGGTCAAGGTAATACAAATTTGAGTCGTGTATAGCACACATTGTCCTTAAAACCTATAAAACAAATTTTGACATTTCAAACTCATTTTGAAATTTGATTTGCATCCCTTTAACATGCGTGAAAAAATCTCTATGTTATACAATGCAAATTCTCTTTAAAAGAGAATTGTATTTATACTAGTGCAAATATCACCCCCATTTTTCAATGTGGGAAAAAGGGTTTTTTCAGAATCAATTTCTCATTACCAATTGTCCATTTTGAGCATACAATATATCGATTCATTCGTATCACTTAAGAGAACCTAAATTCAATTTAACCCCGGTCCAAATTGAAAATGACATCCACTAATATTTGTACCACAAGATAACCACTTAAAATATCATATTTTTACTAAAATTTCCAACAAATTTTTGAGTTGGCATCCTACATATCTTTTGAAGACAATGTTACAATGTCTAAATTTCAAAATATTATTTTGTTCCAAATTATAATAAAAAAAACAATTATTATCACAAAAATAAAAATATCATTATAAATTAGAGTGAAATATGGAAGATATAATATAGCAAGTCAATGATTGACTTAATTTGATAAATGATCAAATAGATCCCTAAACTTTATGCGGGAAATTAATTAGATACTTGAACTTTTAAAAGTTACAATTTAACATATCAACTCGTAATTTTTTAGCATTCAAGCCTAAGAACAAGATAATTTTTGGTAAACAATGGTAACCTCCTACGTGGACGCTGGCATGACAATCTTATCAAATGAATAATAATAATAATAATAATAATAATAATAATAATAATAATAAAATTAAAAAATAGAGATGGTAACCATGGCCAACGGCCATGGCTGTTTTTTTTTTTTTTTTTTTTTTTTTTTTTTTTTTTTTTGTGAAAGCCATGGCTGTTTTCTTCTTCTTCTATCCTTCGCTCCTAGATCTGAAGACGAAGAAGGTCCGAACAAAAACCCTTCTTCATCTCCAAGAATGTAAAGAATTTAAAAGAAAAAAAAAAAGTTGAAGGAAGTCATGGCTAACTACCATAGTTGCCTTCTTCTTATTCTCTCCCTCTTCTGTTGAAGACAACAAGGATCCATTACGAGTCCTAGTAGATGGTCCAATAACAAGGGCAAAGGCTAAACAATTACAAGATGTTGTTGGAGGGCTGATTAGCGCTCAATGGGATATGGATCAATTTGATGAGGACAAGGAGCGACCAGTTAATCTAATTGGAGGGCAATTAATTTAATTGGGCTAGGCTGATTACATGGATAGTAAATAAACTCATTGGACTATCCATTAGTCTTCAAATAATGAGTAGCATATTATTTCTTTTGTAATAAGTAGTCTAGTTATTTGTTTTAGTTAGACTTTAGTGCTGAGTTTGAATTCAAACTATCCATGTCCTAGTCTTTAGGCAAGAGGCATGCTATGACCCGAAAGTTTATCTAGATTGGAAAATAGCTAGGGTGATGAGGTCATTTGAATGTCATAGGTATTCAGAGAGGAAGAAGTTAAGACTGGTAGTGCTAAAGTTTACAGACTATGCTTCTAGCTGGTGGGATAAGATTATAACTGAGAGAAGGAAGTATGGAGATGATCCTATAGAGTCTTGGAGGGAGTTGAGAATTTTAATGAGGAGGCGATTTGTACCAAGTTGGTACTAACGTGAAATGTATCAGCGGCTTGAATATCTTTTGCAGGGTGCTAGAAGTGTTGCTGACTACAATCAAGAGATGAAGAAGCTCATGATTAGGCTTAACATAGATGAGAAGGCCGAGAGGTCCATGGCCCGGTTCCTTAGAGGCTTGATTGCAGAAATTCAAGAAGAAGTTGAGAGGCAACGTTATGTGGAGTATGATGAGCTAGTACAAATAGCCATGAAGGTGGAGCAGTATTTGCAAAGAAAGAAAAACCGATTCCACATGAGTTTATCCTCTTGGAAGAGTAAGGAGGGTTCCAAGGAGAGATTCCAATCAAGGAATGACAATGGTAGACCCAAGGAGTCTAGAGACCAAAAAGGTAAGGAGATTGCCGAAGGAAACTCTGGGCCGCGTAACATCAAGTGTTTCAAATGTCAAGGAAGAGGCTTTATTACAAAAGTTTGTCCAAACAAGGTAAATATGACAATCAAGAAAGGGAGGATTGTTACTGATTCTAAGCAAAGTGATTCCAAGGAGGAGACCGAAGAGGAATCTGAATCACGTGAGGAGGAACTACTTGAAACTGATAATGAAGAAGTTTTGGAGGGACCAGTTGAGGGAGATGCCTTGATGGTAAGGCGCATGCTCAACCTCCAAGCCACCGAGGATGAAAGTCAGCGTGAAAACATCTTTCACTCAAGGTGTTTTGTTCATGGTAAGGTATGTAATTTAATAATTGATGGCGGGAGCTGTACTAATATTGCTAGTACAAAAATGGTGGAGAAGCTAGGCTTGAGCACACAGATCCATCCTATACCCTATGCGCTGCAGTGGCTAAACAAGGCGGGGGATATCAAGGTGAATCAACAAGTTTTGATTCCGATCAAGTTGGGACACTATGAAGATGAGATCCTTTGTGACGTAGTGCCCATGGACACTACTCACATTCTTCTAAGGAGGTCGTGACAGTTTGATATGGAGGTGTTCCATAATGGTTATTATAACAAGTACCTGTTCGAGCACTGAGGCAAGAAGATCACCTTAACCCCAATGACTCCGCTGCAAATTTGATGTAGCAAAAATAAGATGTGAGCTCGGGTGTGTTATATCGTCCTCATGGGATTGGGGGATATGGCACGCAATATGCAATCACAATAAACTAGGCACTAGCATAAGGAAATCAACAAGAAGCTAAACAAACTACAAGTTTAAGGAAATGATAAGACTAACACATATACACAAAAATAAACACAAAATAAAGAAATAGGATTCAAGCTAGGGAGCATTATCATCTAGATGCTTTAACAACCTAAGGGATTAGGGAGAACAAGTAACTAAGGAATCAAGCGGGAAAGCACGTAGGTATTCTAGTCTACGAACCATTCTCGTGATTAATAAACAAGGATTAGAATAAGGAATTGTCCCACCTTCGTGGTGAATCAATTCCAAGTCCATCAAGCATACAAAGCATCTAAAACCCCCAATTTTCTCTATTTTCGTAGGAAGAAATCGTGTCTATGCAAGGGGTGACTTGAATTCATCACCCAACTCTCGTTGAGGTAAAGAATCCTCCAAAAACAAACTAATGAATGTGTACATCAAACATTAACAAGATATAAATACAAAACCTTCACAAACACATGAACCCTAGGTTGAAGTTCTTCCCCTTTTTTGCAATAATCACAAATCAAGCATCAAGATAGATAATACAACCCTAACTCAAGTCCATAGACTACCTACTCATGATTAAATAGCATAAAGAACACTAGAACACAAGTAATAAACATAAATCTTGCAAAATAAAAAAGATAAAAGGAAGAATACTTATGTATTGAAAATGGAAGAACAATCTTCAAATGTTGGAATCCAAGCTTCAAAAGTGTTAAGAAACATAAATCTAAGCCTATTCTAACCTAAAAATATGAAAGAGAATGAAAGAGAGAGTCTAGGGTTCTAACAAGAGTCAAAACCAAGTAGAAATGACCAAAATCGGACTTAAAAAAAAAAAAAGAAGACAGAGCATAGTGACACGGCCAGGGACATGGCCATGTCCCTGGCCGTGTCCAAAACGGCAGTAGCTACTGGAATGCACAGAAAATACACGGCCACAGACAAGGCCGTGCACTTGGCCGTGTCTTTTGGCCTTCAAAACGTCAGAATTTGAAACTATGGTCTTCATGAAAGTTGTATTCCTTCGAGCCTTCTTCTCAATGGAGCACGAATCACTTCATTTGGACATTCCTAGGCTGAGATATGGTCCAAAAACCAAGCAGTGGTCAGTTTTGAATTGTAAGTTTAGAACTTCAACTTCAAGGGCAATTTTGAACCCTGTGGCTTCCTTTTTAGGCTTTGATGTCTGAATATAAGTTGTAGCTCTTTGAGTCTTCTTTCCAATGACACAAGAATCACTTAATTTCAACATTCCTAGGATGAGATATCGTCAAAATACCGAACAGTGGTCGAAATGAGCGAAAATTGAAATGCATTGATCTTTTGCTCCTCTTTTGTTTTAGTTTGCCCAAATGACCAACACAATTGAAACCATCACTCTTAGGCTCACTTGGAAGTGTTTTAGCCATCCTCTTAGCTTTCCTTGGCTCCCATGGACTTCTAATGCATCCAAAACGCTCTATTTTACTCCAATGTCCACCAAAATGCCTGAAAATACTCAACTTTGCTTCCAATGCTTTTCAAACCAAACTCCTTGCAAAATAACACAATTTAGTCCTAACCTCATGAAATTTGGAATAATCTATGAGCAAAATGACTTAGTGTAAGTGGGGAAAATATAGACAATTAAGCACTTATCAAAATTCATGATGACCTTCAGAAAATGAGGGAAAGAGAGAAAAATGAGAAAAGAATTGGAAAAAATAGTGAATAGAGGGTTGAACAAGAGAGAGGAAGCACAAGAGAGAAACATAAAAGTGAGGACAAAGAAAAAATAAAGAAAAATTTCATTGGAAAAAATAGAGATGTTGAAAAAGCAATAAGAGCGGGGATGCAAGTTTTTCTTTTGTTGTATAAAGGACCCAACGGGGGTACTACTAATCCTAGTCATTTGCCCGAATCAATAACTTCTTTAATGCAAGAATTCAAAGATGTTTGTCCGGAGGAACTTCCCGCCGGTTTACCACCGTTGAGGGGGATTGAACACCAAATTGACTTGGTGCCAGGAATTCCATTACCGAACAGGGCTGCCTATCGATGCAACCCGGAAGAGACTAAGGACATCCAAAAGCAAGTTAATGAACTCTTGGCCAAAAAGGAAAATCCAAGAAAGCCTAAGCCCGTGTGCCATTCCTGTTTTACTAGTACCCAGAAAAGATGGGTCATAGAAAATGTGCGTTGATTGTCGCACAATTAACAAAATAATTGTTAAATATCGTTTCCCTATACCCCGTTAGATGACATGCTTGATGAATTATTTGATGCTTGTTATTTTTCTAAGATTGATTTGCGTTCTGGGTATCATCAAATAAGAATTAAGGAAGGGGACAAATGGAAAACAACCTTCAAGACTAAACAAGGTCTATATGAATGGCTTGTTATGTCGTTCGGCCTTATTAATGCACCTAGTACCTTTATGAGACTCATGAACGAGGTTTTACGAGATTTCATTGGGAAAAAGTGTTGTTTATTTTGATGACATACTTATTTATAGCAAGAGTCTTAATGAGCATGTTAGACATCTTAGAGAAGTGTTTTCTGCTTTGAGGAAATATAAATTGTATGCTAATCTAAAAAAATGTGAGTTTTGCACTTTGTCGGTACATTTCCTTGGCTATATTGTCAATGCCAACGGGATTGAGGCTGATACTGCTAAAATTGAGGCTATCCAGCAATGGCCTACACCCAAGACGGTTAGCGAGGTAAGAAGCTTTCACGGATTAGCGAGTTTTTATCGCCATTTTGTGAAAGACTTCAGCTCAATTGCTGCACCGCTAACTGAGGTGATTAAAAAGAACGTTGGCTTTGTGTGGGGTGAAAAGCAAGAGAATGCCTTTAATGAGTTAAAAGAAAGATTGTGTAAGGCACATGTTCTTGCTTTGCCTAATTTTGATGTTGTTTTTGAGATAGTTTATGAAGTTAAATGAATGAAAGAAATGCTAAGACATTCTTTATTGTCTCTCATGTGATTTGAGAGGTGTTCTTTTAGTCTCATCAAGATAATACCAATCTTGTGGTGTTGTTCATTCCTTATCACCTAAGACCAAGTGTGGTGGATATATCCTTATTAAAAACACCAAAAATAATCCCTTAACCAGCCCCCTACATCAGCCAAATATCATCTCCTGTACCCCAAACCTTAGTTCTTGTTGCTGCTGTTTTTGTGAGGAAAAGATCGGGCCAACTTCAGATTCTTTAGAGTATTGATTCTCGAATTCGTCCCCCGGGGATCCGTATCATTTGATGTTGAGGACAACAAGGATCCATTACGAGTCCTAGTAGATGGTCCAATAACAAGGGCAAAGGCTAAACAATTACAAGATGCCGTTGGAGGGTTGATTAGCGCTCAATGGGATATGGATCAATTTGATGAGGACAAGGAGCGACCAGTTAATCTAATTGGAGGGCGATTAATTTAATTGGGCTAGGCTGATTATATGGGTAGTAAATAAACTCATTGGACTATCCATTAGTCTTCAAATAATGAGTAGCATATTATTTCTTTTGTAATAAGTAGTCTAGTTATTTGTTTTAGTTAGACTTTAATGCTGAGTTTGAATTCAAACTATCCATGTCCTAGTCTTTAGGCAAGAGGCATGCTAGGGAGCTATATATAACACTCATAATCTCTTTGTAAAGCAGCAAATCATATTTTGGAGAAATAGCAAACAAGAGCACTACTTGTGCCTTGCCTTCTCTCTTGAGTTCTTCAAGACTTTCCGACTTATCAAGGACTGATTTCTTCCTTGTGGCGTCTCCTTCGTCGTATCACCTTCAAACCAGGTGTGGGCGAATTCCAATCTTAGAAAACACCATAACCCTTCCCACAACACAATCCAAACCCATCTAACAGAACCATAATACAAACCAACCGAGACAATTCCAGCTCCGTTCTACTAGAGACGTGGAAAAGCTCGAGGACCGAACGAGAACTCAAGGTTTCCAAACTCCGTCTCCAGCCCGATGATCGCATCATCTTCGTCTCTAGATCTGGAGACAAAGAAGATTCGAAGAAAGACCCTTTTTCGTCTCCATGTCTGAAGGAAGAAGGGAAATGATTTATATATTAACAATAAAGGTTGAAATCCCTAAGCATTCCCCCGAGTACTCTACAATCCCCATCTCCTCTGTGTAGTTTAGGATGGTACTCACGGGCTACATCAACGGTGTCAAGTAGCGGAGGGGGGGGGGGGGTGTGAGTCTTGGGTCCCTTTAGGGTAGCCGTGGGTACGACTCAATTAGGGCTTGGGGCACCCTGTCCCTCCGACTTCTTCATTCTTCTACTTCTTTGTCTCCTTTGAATCCACATACCTGACTATCGGGTCCATCAACTCGGAGTATGATTTTGGTGGGTATTGGTTTAATTCGTTGTGGAATGAGCCTGACCTTAGGGCATTGGTGAAGATTGAGATCGTGGGCTTACACTTGAAACCTTGGATAGTAGTTACCTCCTTCTTCCATCAGGCCAAGAATTTAGCTAAATGCATAGAGCCTTTTTGCCTTATGGAACAGATATAGGCGAAATGTTTCTTCTTCTGAATGTTCCCGGTGAAGTACAAGATGAAATTCTTTTTGAGGTCGGCAGAAGTGGTGATTGATCCCTCCGGGAGCAATCCAAACCAATCTTGGGCATATATTTCAAGGGTTGTCAGAAAACCTAGACACATTATCATGTTGCTTGACGAGTTGTGAGTTTATCGATGGATGGAAAGTATGGTGGAGAATGAAGATTCCCCCGGATGTCGTTCTCAACAAACACACATTTGTGATAGAAAGTTAGGCAAAATGATGGTAACAAGAGCAAAGAATAGAGTGGAGAGTGAAATTTAATGTAAACTAAAGTAAAAAATGTAATATGAGGTGAATTGGATTGGCATTCCCTTGATCATATGCAATGAAAAGGTCTTGGTGAGAATTGAAGTTATGTGATGAATTGTGGTCTATGTGAGGTGACTACCATTGCCAAGGTCATTCTCGGTCTTCGTGGACTATCATGGTGTAGTAGAGCACCCAAGTGACAATGTTACACCTATGGAACATTTCATCAAACACCTTGTTTACACCTCATTCCAGACTTTGCCATCTCGAATCTAAGGCGGGAATTGCAAGTGGAAGAAGACTAGAATATACCTCAATATTTTGTAAGCATACTTATCCCTAAGCATCTTGCATGATGTGCACATCCCTCATACAAGAGTCGATACAAATTCCACTTTCAACAAGAAATCAACACATAGTCAATTCTACCTTGATCAATTCATACACAATCATAAGAGAATATAATCCAATTCACAAGGTAATTTTAGCCAATCATGGTCTAGATTGAAAGGCAACAACAATTGAGCATAACAATGGAGATGGATGATGAAATTAAAGAGAAAAATGCAGGAATTATACTTAGCTCAAATGCAATTCACAATCAAACCATAAGATGAGTCCAATCAAGCAAGAAGAAGATCAAAGATTGAAGAAGAGTTGTCAATTCCTCTTGAACCCTAGAATCTTCTCTCTCAATTGGAGAGAGTTTGGAACTTGGTCTAGAAGTGAGAGAAAGTAAATCTAAACTAATGGAATGGAATCTAAGAGAATGTGATGCCCCACCTACCCCCCACCCCTAAACAATCCCGCCAATCTCCTTTTATAGTCGCGAATCCGAGACCATCACAAACCCTGCATGATCATGCACGGGTTCGTGCACGCCTCCATTTTACTTGGAAGCTACCACGATTGTGCCCCCTTCGTGCAACTGTCGGCCTCCATGTGTACAAATGTACAACTACTCGTACAGTCCCAGACTTCATGCTTTTCCTCACTTTGTCCTTTGATTGCCTCCAAATGTCTTAAAATCACTCAAATGCCTTACAAGTGTTCAAATGTTAGTCCTCAAATTCAACTTATATGAAAATAAAGCAATTATGCACACAATTCAACCAAAAGGACTCACACAAGGTAATAAAAACAACTAAAACACCCCACAAAAACTAAGGTATATTTGGCACTCATCATTGCTCGCCCCGGTCATCATCATGGCAGCTCGGTACCAGGTGACGTGGGCTTTGGGGTCGAACGATCTATTGTACGCATTTATGATTGGGAATCGAAATTCGTGGGGTAACAGAGTTGCCATAATAGCTTGGGTGAAATGGGTGGATAAAATGTCTCACAGTTCTAGGGAGCCATCCCGTGCGTCCATATTCCTTTAGAGCTCTTCCAGCCTCCTTTGCAATTCCCCTACCTCGTCATTATATAAGCCTGGGCCTGCCCATTAGTTTTGTCAGATCTCTCTATGTGCCCGCGGTGATCCGAGGCTCAGGGCACCCAACCCAATTACCTCATTGAGGATTCACCTTGTGATGGGGTTAACGTCATTGGATTGTGGCCCCAAGCGATCTTAGGCCTACACCTGGGTACCCAACTGGTCCAAGGCGGACCCTACCTATGTCAGATGTTCAGTTGTACGCCCTTGGTGCCCCCAGCTCATATCCCCGACACCTTGCCATACTTACCTTCTAGGTGAATTGGCCTATGCATCGGCTCAAAACCAGTTCGTGTGTCTATTGTTGGTAGGTGGTGGGGTCGGTGTCACCTTGGGTCGCAAATAGGTTGCTCCCTCCAGAACCCCTACAGTGATTCGTCCTTGGTAGAGTAGTATCGACTCCTAGATCATCGCTATAAGGTTGGTAAGGACAACCACAACTTGCTGGATGACGATCATGCTGGCTTGGACGCTTGAAACCCTAGGCGCTGGCGGAACATGGGTGCCGGGGCCATTTTTCTACCCTGTTGATTGGTCATACGATCCCTTAGGTCCTCCCCTCCACAGGCATACTAGCACAATTTGCCAGCTCGCGGTCACGTTTAAGTTATTATCGACCAGGGTGAGGTTAGTGTTGCAAGAATCGTGGGTGTTGCGAGAATGAAACCTTGCCATTGTCGATTGGGATGGTTGTGGACCGAAAAACGGAAAGCACACTCGAGCTTGGACGTCAAACTCTTAATGAAAACACTAATGATGGAACTAATTGACTCGGGGTATGCATGGATCAATAAGCTTGCATAAAATATAAAGGGTAAAATGGAAAATGATAAGATTAGTGGTAATATTGAATGGATTAATGTAATAACATTACAAGAGTGTTGTAAGAATATAACATGATTTGTAATAACTAAGCAATGTCAATTTATATAAGAAGGTTCCAACTGGTTTAGCTAATTCCATTGTGAGCCACAAGACCAAGTCAAAGCTAGATGGTAGGCCATGGGGTTGGGCCAAATTCGGCTATCTTCGCATCGGAGACAGGCTCTAAGGAAGAATGGCGATTGCCTTAAGTCGGCTGCGGTGGTCGGGCATCGGGTGCCACTCGGGTAGCCTCATCTGTGTTCCCTGCCTTGGGCCTCCAGATTTCTTTCGTTAGGCTTGGGTTTTCTATTTATCTTGGGTCAGTTCAAATATCTCCATCATAATGCTTCGACCTTCTTTGTATGTATAATAAATTGGAGGATCAAAAGACTAATTTTTCCTAACAATTCTTTATATTTTCTACAAAATTTCTATTTCGAAGTTCTCTAATTTGATTTCTATGAAGGATTAAGCAAAGAAATGACAACATAGAGCTAGTTTTTTTTGTTTTTTTCTTTTGTTTGTTTGTTTTTTTTTTTCCAAACCAATTTTGATGACATAGAATTTGGAATATGCTAGCATTAAAAGGTAAAATGGGCTTAAGAACATTAACCATTATTTGAAATTGTGCCCAATAATAGAAATAAGATAAAAAAAATTAAAACTAAACATTTTATCTTTACTAGTAGTCTCATTAGCGAAACAACGATCCATAATCAAAAAATAGGGATTAGTGGCTACAAATTTGACACCTTTCCCCAAGAGTTCATCGACCTTATCAAATAGAAGTTGATTATCTAACGATAGATAGTTTGGGTTGTAGTTGGGTTCAAGTCATAGTATGTGGGTTCTATCGGAGTAAATAAGAGTTGTTTTCCCTTTGATTTGCAGGGAAGATGATTAGGGTTAAATGAATAAGGGAATATTAGGATTAAAGGAAGATAAGGGGAGAAGGGGGAACATTAGACATATATATAATAAGGAGGAGAGTCCATAAAGGGTACTCAGATATAGGCCAAGGAAATTAAATAGGAAGGAGAAGACGAATATGAAACAACTTCGTAGCTTTTAGTAATTAAGAGACGGATTTTGACTATTTGTATCACTTATGAATAGAGGAGGGAGAAGAAGAAATACAAGGAAAAGGATGAGGTATTTTTGGAAAATATGGAGCCCAATAAGAAGCATGAAGGAGTATAATGTACTCCGTATCACACAAGAGAATTGTAAGGACTTGAGAGTAGTGTTTATACTATGTGTAGAGGATTCAAAAGTGTTTTAAATAAGCCTTATATAAGAAAATAAGGAGTGGATGCTCGAGGGATGTGTTACTCGAGCTAACAATTACCCTGGAATTAGCCATTAGATAGTAATAACATTTTCTTTTGAGTATTATAAAGAGAACCATTGAAGGTGCAAAAGGAGTAAAAATTGGCTCAACACATATAAAATGAGGTAAATAAGTGCGTTGGGTAACCCAAAGCATCTTCACCAAGCTTAGGCTTGGGGTCAAACCCCTAAAGTAGGTAACAAGAAAATGGAATACTAGTCAATGGGGGATTAGGGAACTCATTATGGAAATAATGATTCATATAGCAACACATATGCATCACGCAAGGCAAATAAAAAAAATATATATATTATTTACTCTATAAATCAAGTATAAAAGGGAATCGTTACTTAGACTATTGCTCGAGATTTACCTAGAATATTACCCTTCTTCTAAATTTCTCTAAGGGAAAGGAAGGGAAACCATTATTGCTCACTTTCATTAACACACTTAGTTGGGGGGGGGGGGGGGGGGGAGGGAGGTGGTTCTGATGCAATTTGCCTATATGGGGTTGTGTACCTATGGATGGGATGGGGGAGATACGATTAAGTCTCGAGGGTGCACAACGTTAGAAAAAGAAAAGGCAATTTTGGTATCCTAGGAGATCATGGTTTCAAAATGGCTATGCAACTTCTTTTGGCTTTGTTGGGTGTTGCAAATTGAGGTGGTCACATGGTAGAGTTTAGATGAGAAGGGATGGTGACCAAGATAGGATTAGTTCCTACCCCGAGTAGTGCTCCCACCTACCCAACCTCATGAGGAAACGATGGTTGATCTCTCCATAACCTTGAAGAATTGCTTAAGGGCTTGGAGAATGGAGATTGGATCTTCAAGATACGAAGTTTGGAGGATTTAGTCTCAAAATACAACCAAGGGGCCATAATTCATGGCATATCCTTTGTCAATTGTAAAAAATGTTAGAAAACTTTACTCAAGACAAAGAACATAGGCTAAAGATAAGTAGTTTTCACATAGGGGAAGATTTAGGGTCACGTATGACAAACATAAAGGGAACTAGCAAAGTTGATAAGTAAAGAAGAGACTAGCCAGTAAGGCAGCATGACAAATGTGGAGATACCGTATCATCCTTGGCCAACATATTTATATAGGTTGAGTAAAAAAAGTGATATGAGTAGTTGGTTAAGGATTCGAAGGCACATGGATGGACCTAATGAGTTTGCCAGCTTGTGCAGTAAAAGACATTTCTTAGAGCTTAGAGTAGTATAGATTCACGAGAAAGCTTGGTGTATTCAGGTAATTCAACAAGGTTCTAGACTTTGTTACCATCCATGGATTTTAGCTCGTATTTCATGACATCTAACCACATTTTAAATTGTTTCTTTCAATGGTTTTGTAAAAAACACTCTCGATCACTTTCATAATCATAACATTATTTTACCTTCCTTAACATTTCTTGCTATTCAATCTTTGTATTCAAAGCTAATTTACTGACTAATCATATAGTTGGGAAATCAAGCGTCATTAGTAATGCTTCAATCTATAAAATTTATGTCATTTAGTAGTCGAAAACTATCTTAATCATTTCAAAAAATGAATTTATATTTTCAATCATACTCATAGACGTTTAGACGGAAATTTCATCCACTGTTTCATGGAGCACGTAGTAGTATTTTAAAAAAAATATAAATACTATATTTAAAAGCATAGTTATTTTTTTTCTGAGAAGAATAATCAGACCTTGTAAAGAAAGTAATTAAAATATTAATATAAAGTTACCAATTTCAAATGGATGGTCACATGATCGAATTTTAACGGACCTTATAAAGAATTATGAGTATTTAAAAAAAATTAGTTAGAACAAATATAACATAAGAGTAAGGTTACTACTTTTTTTGTCAAAAAAGGAAATAAAGAAAAAAAAATGGAAAGAAAATCAAGTGAGCAGGAATGAAACACATAAAAACGCGAAAAATGAACAGACAAAAGAAAAAAATGAAAAAAGCGAAAATAGTAAGGGCGTGACCACCTTAACTGTGGTGCACCCTCATTTCCAAATCCCTCTCCCTAGAGTGGAATGCTATGCTTGCTCGCTCGCTCCTTACCCTCTCACCTCACCTCTCTTCTCAGGCTCTCTCCATACATACATACACAATAGATACAACGCAATCACCCCCCTACCCACTACCCAACCCCCACTCCCACCTCTCCATCTCCATTGTTTCACTCCATCAACAACAAAATTGATATACACACACATACGTATATACGCGCAGGAGAGGAACGGACAAATTGAAGAAAGAAAGAATAAATTTCGATAACGAAAAACGGGAGAAATGAAACACCATCATCACCAGAACCTATCAGCTTCCGCCGCGGAAACGGCGGTGTCTTCTTCATCGGCGTACCAATCGCAGACGCCCGTGCAGCCTCCCTCATCGGCGACGTCGTCGTCCTCCGCCGCGGCGGCGGCATCGTCGTCATCCTCGACGTCGGAGAAACCTATGGCGGCTGCCGAGGATGTTGCGGCGGCGGCGTCCAGGGACGCGGTATCGGTGACCACGGCCGCGTCGGAATCTGTGACCGTGGAGAGGCGGGGGGAGTACGCGGCGGTGTGCAAATGGGCCATCGCGAATTTCCCGAGAATCAAGGGGCGAGCACTGTGGAGCAAGTATTTTGAGGTCGGCGGCTATGATTGTCGTCTGTTAGTTTACCCTAAGGGTGACTCTCAGGCGTTGCCAGGGTACATCTCTATCTACCTTCAGATTATGGACCCTCGCAATACGACGTCGGCCAAGTGGGACTGCTTCGCCAGCTATCGCCTCGCCATCGAGAACCCCAGCGATGCCTCCAAGTCCATCCATCGAGACTCCTGGCATAGGTTCTCCTCCAAAAAGAAATCCCATGGTTGGTGCGATTTCACACCCTCAAACTCTATCCTAGACCCTAAGTTAGGGTTTCTATTTAGCAATGATTGCCTCCTTGTAACTGCTGATATACTGATTCTGCATGAATCTGTTAGTTTTTCTCGTGATAACAATGAATTGCAGTCTAGTTCCTCGTCCAATGTGGTGGTTACTGGACCCGCTGGGGATGTTTTGAGTGGGAAGTTTACTTGGAAGGTGCATAATTTTAGCTTATTTAAGGAAATGATCAAAACTCAAAAAATCATGAGTCCAGTTTTCCCAGCTGGGGAGTGCAATTTGAGGATTAGTGTGTATCAGAGCTCGGTGAATGGGGTAGAGTATTTGTCAATGTGTTTAGAGAGTAAAGATACTGAGAAGACATTGATCTCAGATAGGAGTTGTTGGTGTTTGTTTAGGATGTCTGTGCTTAACCAGAAGCCTGGTATGAATCACGTGCACAGAGACTCGTATGGGAGGTTTGCCGCTGATAATAAGAGTGGGGATAACACTAGCTTGGGATGGAATGATTACATGAAAATGTCTGATTTTGTGGGTTCAGAGTCAGGTTATCTAGTGGATGACACTGCTGTTTTTAGCACCTCGTTCCACGTAATTAAGGAGCTAAGTAGCTTTTCAAAAAATGGGGGAGTGATTGGAGCAAGAATAGGGAATAGTGCTCGGAAATCTGATGGGCACCTGGGAAAGTTCACATGGAGGATTGAGAACTTCACAAGGTTGAAGGATCTTTTGAAAAAGAGGAAGATTACAGGGCTCTGCATAAAAAGCAGGAGATTTCAAATTGGAAATAGGGATTGCCGGCTTATTGTTTACCCCAGAGGTATGTAACAATACTTTTGATTAAATCTTTGTATTCCCACTGTTCTAGTTCTGTTTTCCCATATTATTTATGCCTATTTTTAGTTATGTATTTTGTATGCATTAGTCAGGCATTTGTGGATCATTTTTTTTTTCCACATAAGGTTATTAGAACTCAATGTTTCACAAGTATATAAAACTGAGAAAAGCTCTGTTTGTGCAGTATGTCATTACATTTCTGAAATAAGGTTCAGCAACACCAGCTTCTTGGTATACTTGTACAGTTTTAAATTTAAGATAGGTATGGAGAATTGGTCAAGTCCTCAGGTGCTTGGTAATGCTAGTGTGTGGGTTGGGCTTGTTGTAGTGCCCATTTGCTCGTAATTGATCATGTTGAAATTGAGGGATTGAAAGGCCTGGCGGGTGGAGAATAACAACCACCCGCCAGTTAGGCGGAAGCAAAATATGTGAGAAACCAAAGAAGAAGAAGAATAGAAAGAGTATATTATAATGAAAGATTACAATAGATTATGTCTCTCTGTGTGCACTATACTTCTATGTACCTCTATATATACTAAATCAATCCTAATAGGAATAGGAAACTAAGCCTACTCCTACTAGGAGTCTCCTAATATTCAATAAAGGTTTCCTAATATTCAACAGATCATTTGGTCAAATCTCTTTGAAAACAAGGTTTAGTTTTGTACATTTTCCTACCATAGATTCTGAAATCTGAACGATGCTGGATCTCTGCAGACTTGCTCTGACTTGCCTAAAGTTGGCCGATTATTAAAGTGCTCAGTTGTGCATTCGTTATGTCATGGATACATTTATTGCCAAGCGCCACAAGTTTCGTACTGTTAGATGCATAACTCATTCAATAGTGTTAGTATTTATTTATTTATTTATTGTTTCAGCTGAGTTTTTCTTTTTCCTTGTGGGGTTGTGATGAAGATCTGTTGGGTTTTGTTTTAATTATGCTTCTCCCCCTGAACATATAGTCATGCTTATTGTTTATTATACCAGGGCAAGCTCAGCCACCTTGCCACCTTTCAGTATTTCTTGAAGTCACAGATTCACGAAATACGAATAATGATTGGAGTTGTTTTGTGAGCCATCGGTTGTCTGTTGTGAACCAAAGGATAGAGGAGAAGTCTGTCACCAAGGAATCTCAGAATCGCTACTCTAAAGCAGCTAAGGACTGGGGTTGGCGCGAATTTGTGACCCTTACTAGTCTTTTTGATCAAGATTCTGGGTTCCTTGTTCAAGACACTGTTGTATTTTCTGCTGAAGTCCTTATTTTGAAGGAGACATCTATAATGCAGGACCTCACAGATCAGGATGATGAGTCAGGAGTCACTGGTTCCCAATTGGACAGGGTTGGGAAAAGGAGTTCATTTACATGGAAGGTGGAAAACTTTTTGTCTTTCAAGGAGATAATGGAAACAAGAAAAATATTTAGCAAATTCTTTCAGGCAGGTGGATGTGAGCTCCGAATTGGTGAGTTACCATTTTCTTGTCATACTTGAATATATACTTTTACGTTGGTGTTCCATGATTGATGCTAGCATTTTTCTATACTACAGGTGTTTATGAATCCTTTGACACTATATGTATATATTTGGAGAGTGATCAGTCTGGTAGTGATCTTGAGAAGAATTTTTGGGTTAGATACAGGATGGCTATTCTGAACCAGAAAAATCCTTCTAAAACTGTATGGAAGGAGTCTTCAATCTGCACTAAAACATGGAATAATTCTGTACTTCAATTCATGAAGGTGTCGGATATGTTGGAAGCAGATGCAGGATTTCTTGTACGTGATACAGTTATCTTTGTTTGTGAAATCTTGGACTGCTGCCCTTGGTTTGAGTTTTCTGACCTGGAGGTTAGTGATTCAGCCATTTATCAAATGTGTGTTTTGTTTTTTTCTTGTATCATATGCTTCTCTCCATGTTGTGTAATGGCTGTAAAGAATTATTCTTCTCTATGTGTGCAAATGGGTAGTTGTGAAGATTCTATATACCTTAACTGATGTCCTTTTCATGTGTTGCTATAAAATTGTCAAGTATACTAGTCAACCACCCTATCCTACTTTCTTTCAGTAAGCAGTGTGAGTTGGGGCTGATGAAGTTTGAGTCCTTTTGGGTTTTTAGTCTGCCTGTTTGGAATAGTGTGTGTGGTGGAACATTTTAAGTGTTAGCTTTGTTTCTGATTTAATTGTGATATGTGAGTAGCACTTATAAAGCTGATAAATCACTTAAGAAACCTCTTGAACCTAAATATGGTTGATGCTATTGCTATTCTTTTGATAATATACTCATACCTTAAAAAACTTTATTACTTTTATTGTCGAGGTGGTGGTACTTTTGTCATTCTAAAACTATACTTAATGTCCCCCAACTTTCAGTGTTTTTCTCCTTTTCCAAATTGATACAATAATCAATATACTGAAAAATGAGTTCAAATTTTCCCATCAAAAGTAATTCTAAATAAGGGAGCTTGTAATGATTCTCTATTTAATTCTATATTATTTGTAATTATCATTACTGATGTGGGACAGCTGTACCCTCCTTCAGTGCTTTAGCTTTTTATGCAGGCCTCTGCCTGCTTAGGAGTAGTTAGGAATGTGGAATTCATTTACTGTGAGCAACTTATGGAAGCATGGCTTCTCATTTGATGTAAAGAAAAGCCTATACGATTAAGGGGAGTGGTCCTGGTTTTCTATGTATATCAGTATATGCAGTCCACTGGAGATAGGCAATTAGACAAAATAGGGGAGAAACAATTTGGATTTATTGATCATGGTATAATGCTGCAATTCCACCATTTTTTGTATGTTTTGTGCCTTTGGCTGAATATGTATATTGTCATTAGGTGCTAAACTGCTGATGAAGATTGATTATCTAAAGAAGATAGGAAATAGGTTTGGAGGTAGGTGTGGGCATAATTCTCTTTTATACATTATCTAGCGGTTGAAACTAGAAAGGGTTGCTCTGTCAAGTTTGAAGTTGAGGGGGACTTGATGGTGGGCTACTGGGCTGAATCGCATTGCTGCGGTGTAGGATGAATTTATATATAACCAACCATTGGGATCTTTGAAGATATAAATATGTAACGTCATAAGCTAGCGAGCAAGGAGATTTCATGAAATAAAATTAATATTGTTGTGGAAAGTTAATCTATTACTTCACAAAGTTCCTTTCTATAATCAAATGTTAACCAGATTTCATTATACAATCAGTCAATGGCACTTGAAACTTTTGTCCCATTTTACTAGATTAGATGGGTTGCAATTATATTATATTAAAATACACTGTGAATTGTTGGCTTAATAAAAGACAGTTTAAGGTATACTTATGTGCAACAAGTGTTGGGCGTTGGCTCAATAAAATGTAAGCTGGGATAAAATATAAGTATTACAAGGTTAAAAAAAATAGGGATAGTTTCACCCCAACACACTAAGGTTTCTGGTTATTATAATGCCTGTATCCTCTGAACTTTAGCTAATGCTTTCACTAAAGTCCAAAGTACAAAAAAGATTGAATGGGGCCAAAATGAAATTCCATTAACACTCTTCTCTTCCTTCAGGGTTAGAAATGTTAATACTTTAGCAAGGGAAACAATGGACAAATTTTTAGAATTGACATTACCTTTAGGGGGTGCAGTTGTAATTTCTAAAATAATAGTATATCAGATGCTACTGCAGAAAACACCAAGGGAAATAATTCTTAAAAACAAGCTTCTAGCTGTGTCTGGAAAATTAGGAGTTGCATTGGGTGTCTAAAGTTGGGTCTCACAAGTCACATCTGCTACTTGCTTAGACATAGATAGTGTTTAGAGTTTAGACCCTTAGAGGTGGATTATTGGTACTTCAATAGTGAAATATGGTCAGGGGGCTTGCTTTTGGTAAGTGGACAGACAAAGGATAAAAGATTCACATGACTGCCTTTTTATAGGTGAAGTCCAACACCCAATGCCATGAAACACTAACTCTGAAAACAGCAACTTAAAGGCCTTGTTGGGCAATTAATGGTTAGCTGATTGTCTATTTGTGTTAGCCGTCTTGACCAACGGATTGTTTTAGTGGTTTATAGAGATATGTTTGGTAAAATTAGTTGTTATGATTAGCGGTTAATTATGTCCCAAATAAAAATAATTGTTAATTATTAATTATATAATGTGTTATCTAATTATTTTTAAATGATACTTTATTATTAGTATTTATAAAATTATTAACATAATATAATTATAAAAATAAAAATTAAAAATAAAGAAAGAAAAGGAAAAAAAATACTGGGCAATGTGGGCAACTTGGCGTCCCACATCACTCGGTTTTAAAGAAATGGAGCATGAGGCTCCCCAATAAGGGGAGCCTCATACTCCTCTTTTGTAGCTGTGCTGATACGCACAGCATTCTTCTCCAATGTTTGGGAGTTCAAGCATCACTCTCTCCTTTGGGAGAGTGATTGGATTTAATGCCCAAAGGGAAATATGGGAATATAGTAGCATTTTTCCCAAATGATGATTGGAAATGCTGCAAATTGCAGCATTTCCAAAATTGGCAGTTTGAGGCAAACTGCTAATAGGAGAAACTGTTTACCAAGCATGTATTTTAGCTTTTATGACCAAGTCAAAATGCCAAAGTGGTCAAAACGCTAACCGCTAACCCAAAACGCCATTTACCAAACAATGCCAAACTCCCACTAAACAATATGTAATAGATACCACTAAGATGTCTGTCTAGTGTCTTTTAAGATCACTGCAACCACTTACATTTACTATTGCATTATAAACTAGTTCCTATGTGCAAGATTAATTCCATGCAACTCCCGTCATGCAAGACTTATTTAATATTCTATTGACATGCAACTAATGCAATCCAATTCTTGTGGGAGATTGGGAGATGAATGAATTAAGATAATGGCAATTTAAAAAAAAATGGTTATTTAATACTCTTACCTATCCTTTGATACTAGCTTGGTTCTTGATCAGTGAATTTCATATCTCTATGGATTTGACTTTTATCCAATCGTTACTTCTGCAGTTTGATGTTCTCATGGAACATTGGTTTCTGACTTTCTCATACTTCAAATTTGGATTCTGTATTGAAATTCGTTCCTGCTTTGCTAGGTATTAGCTTCTGAGGATGATCAGGATGCTCTGACAACTGACCCTGATGAGCTCATTGATTCAGAAGACAGTGAAGGAATAAGTGGAGATGAGGAAGACATCTTCAGGAATCTTCTTTCCAGAGCAGGGTTTCATCTCACTTATGGAGATAATCCTTCACAGCCACAGGTTACTTTGAGAGAAAAACTTCTCATGGACGCTGGTGCTATTGCTGGTTTCTTGACTGGACTTCGTGTATATCTTGATGATCCTGCTAAAGTGAAGCGGTTACTCCTTCCTACTAAAATATCTGGATGTAATGATGGGAAGAAACTCAGTAAGAATGATGAATCTTCTCCCAGCTTAATGAACTTGCTGATGGGAGTAAAAGTTTTGCAGCAGGCGATCATTGATTTGCTTTTGGACATAATGGTGGAGTGTTGTCAACCTTCAGAAGGCTGTCCAGTTGGTGATTCCTTAGAAGGGAGTTCCAAACCTTTTCCAGAGGGTAGTGATCCCAATGGTACTACTAGTCCTTTAGAAAATGATAGGGCCAATGGAGCCAATGAATCAATGCAGATTCCTGTCCATGATAGACTTGATTCAGTCATGGATGAAGGTACAAGTTTATCCGCTGTTCAAAGTTCGGATATTGGTGGCAATGATACACAAGATAAAGCATTTCCTGGACAACCTATTTGTCCACCTGAAACATCTGCTGGTGGTTCGTTGGAAAATCCTTCCCTTCGTTCTAAGGTATAATTGTTATATCATCTCTATGTTTATGCTTTTGTGCTTAATGTTGTTGGTATAGATCATTCAATGAAGTTGTGACTTCAGACGAAGTGGCCAGAGCAGTCCGAAGAGCTTCTTGGATTGATTGTGAACTCCTTGAGAGCACTTGATGGAGCTGTTCCACAGGGTTGCCCTGAACCAAGGAGGAGGCCGCAGTCTGCACAAAAGATTGCGCTTGTACTTGATAAAGCACCAAAGCATCTACAGCCAGACCTTGTTGCTTTGGTACCAAAATTGGTTGAGCATTCAGAACATCCACTGGCTGCGTGTGCTCTTTTAGAACGACTTCAAAAGCCGGATGCAGAGCCTGCACTGCGAGTGCCAGTAAGATGCACTGGAATTTTTGCTTTTGGAATTCTAGAATTTCCCTTTAGAATCTTTCATGTATAATGCATTGGAGAGGGAAGTTAACTGCCTCAAGTTTGATGATTTATATCATTCTCTTGTAATGCTTATTTTTTATTTCACAGGTTTTTAATGCACTTAGTCAGTTGGAATGTAGTAGTGATGTGTGGGAACGTGTTCTTTTCCAGTCATTTGATCTTTTGACAGATTGCAACGATGAGCCTCTCGCAGCAACAGTGGACTTCATATTCAAGGCTGCAATTCATTGCCAACATCTTGCGGAAGCAGTATGCATAAGATATTGCATCTGTATTTCTAATATGTTATATTTATCCCTTTTTACCAGTGTAATTTATTTTTCTTATTTGCTTTAGGTCCGAGCAATCCGGACTAGGCTAAAAAATTTGGGCACAGAAGTCTCCCCATGTGTTCTTGATTATTTGAGCCGGACAGTTGGTAGCTGCGCTGATATTGCTGAAGCTATTCTTAGAGATATCGATTGTGATAATGGTTTCAGTGAGAACTGTTCAGCAGTTCCTTGTGGAATTTTCCTATTTGGTGAAAACTGTCATACTACTGAAAGACCTGAACCTGTGGATGAGCACCCTTTCCGGTCTGGTGATCATGTTTCTGACATTTACATTCTGATTGAGATGTTATCTATCCCTTGCCTTGCTGTTGATGCATCCCAAACTTTTGAGAGAGCTGTTGCTCGAGGTGCCGTAGTGGCTCAATCTGTAGCCATGGTCTTGGAAAGGCGTCTTGCTCGGAGAATAAATTTGACCTCTCAATATGTTGCTGGAAATTTTCAGCATGCTGATGTGGTTGTGGAAGGGGAAGCCATTGAGCAACTGAGGGCCCAACAAGATGATTTTACTTCAATTCTTAGTCTTGCTGAGACACTTGCACTTTCCAGAGACCCGCACGTGAAAGGATTTGTGAAAATGCTTTACACTATATTGTTCAAATGGTATGCTGATGAGTCTTACCGATTGAGGATCCTCAAGAGACTTGTTGATCGTGCTACCAGTACAACAGATAGTGCTCGTGAAGTAGATTTAGATTTAGATATTTTGGCAACTTTAGTATGTGAGGAGCAAGAAATTGTTAGACCAGTTCTTAGTATGATGAGGGAGGTTGCTGAACTCGCAAATGTTGATCGAGCAGCACTTTGGCATCAGTTATGTGCTAGTGAAGATGAAATTCTCCGCAATCGTGAGGAAAGAAAAACAGAGATCTCCAATATGGCTAAAGAGAAAGCTGTTATTTCCCAAAAGCTTAACGAATCTGAGGCTACTAATAACCGTCTTAAGGTCTCTCTGTCTTTATGTTTGTGTGTGTCTCAGGGAGGCATGTCTTAAATTTGGTTGATGCTTAGGTAACTCTATAAATTTACACTAACATCATTGAATTGCAGTCTGAAATGAAGGCTGAGATGGATCGTTTTGCTCGGGAAAGAAAGGAGCTTACAGAGCAGATACAAGATATTGAGAATCAACTTGAATGGATCCGCTCTGAAAGAGATGAAGAAATTGCAAAGCTCACTGCTGAGAAAAGGGCTTTACAAGATCGTTTGCATGATGCGGAGGTTCAGCTTTCCCAACTGAAGTCTCGAAAGCGAGATGAACAGAAGGTATGATAATTATTTTTGGCATAAATTGTTATAGGAATTATTTCCACATTTGGTCCCCAAGTATTAATTGTCACATTTGGTACTTGACTTTTTTTTTTTTTTGCCACATTTGGTCCTGCTGTCCAAACCTCTGATAGGAAACAGGTGGAATGCGTTATATTTCCAGTTCAAAATCACATGTTTTCTTCCCAAAAATGTTAAGGTGTTCAAGCCAGTATGGTTCTGAACTGAAAATGTGACACATTCTAACTATTTTTTTAATAGAAGATATTGTCTGAAAGTCATGTACCAAATGTGGCAAAATTAATATTCGGAGATCAAATGTGGAAGTGACCTAACAGTGGAATTAATTCTTGTTATAGCTTAAGAATATTGCTTGCATTGCCACAAAACTTCATTGCCTTTACTATCATGAATTTTAAACAGCAATCAGCAATATTTTTACTATCCCTGGGATTGATGATTTCTTCTATTTCCTGAACTCATTTATTGTTTTCAGCTGTATGTCACCACAGTTCCTTTCTTTGCTTTTGGTAGTCGGTTCACTCTCTATTCGGAATTTGTGCTGCTTATTGATAATGACGAAAATTGTGTGCCTATCCAGGGAGAAAGTACTATCACTTATTATTTCTTTCTCTCAGCTGATCTCAACTATCAAACTTTTAATGTTCCAGAAACTAATGAAGGAGAAAAATGCTCTTGCCGAAAGGTTGAGGAATGCTGAAGCTGCAAGAAAAAGATTTGATGAAGAATTGAAACGATTTGCTACTGAAAATGTTACTCGAGAAGAAATACGGCAGTCACTGGAGGATGAAGTTCGCAGGTTGACAGAAACTGTTGGACAAACCGAAGGGGAGAAGCGTGAGAAAGAAGAGCAGGTTGCTCGATGTGAAGCTTACATTGATGGGATGGAGTCCAAATTGCAGGCATGCGAGGTTATTTTTCCCACTTCGATTTGGTTTCTTCTCTTTTCTATTGCTTTGATTTTCAAGAATTAATTGGCAACCATCTTACTAAATTCTTCATTGAGTTCAATGTTTCTTGTAAAACCTCCATCCCCAATAACACCGGCACCATCTGTCTCCTTAATCCATATTTTTTTGTGGCTCCTTGTTTCAGCAATACATTCATCATCTTGAAGCATCTCTTCAAGAAGAAATGTCGAGACACGCCCCACTGTATGGTGCTGGGTTGGATGCTTTGTCAATGAAGGAGTTGGAGACATTGGCAAGGATTCACGAAGAAGGGCTGAGGCAAATCCACACCATCCAACAGCGTAAAGGAAGCCCCGGTGGTAGCCCACTTGTAAGCCCTCATAACCTTCCACATACTAATGGACTGTTCCCTGCTGCTCCTCCTACAATGGCTGTCGGACTTCCCCCATCTATTGTACCAAATGGTGTCGGGATCCACAGTAACGGACATGTAAATGGTGCAATTGGACCTTGGTTCAATCATTCCTGAGTCTGAGTCTAAGTCGAGTCCGAGTCTAGGTTGGGCATTATATTGTAACGATCTAGACTAGGTGGTTGGTTGGTTGGTTATACCCTCTCATCCTAAAACCCTAGCTCGATAAGGCTATTATATGTTTAGTTTTCGGGCTGGCTGGCATTTCGGCTGGGATAACTGTTGGAACATGCAGCAGATTCCAATAGCACCAGCAGCAATCAAATGCTGCACTTTTTTCTTCCGCCAAATTAATCAAAGGAATTTTCATTTTCTTTTTCTTTACTCTTGTGGCTTCAGCTCACCTGACATTGTCTTTTATCCGGATACACATATACTAGCTGACTTACTATAATCCCTTTTCAAGTCATCGTCTGCTGTTAATAACTTTTTTTTTTTGGCATGACCTACTCTTCAATTAGCTAAATCAACAGAACCTACTTTGGTCAAAATTCTTCGTTTAATCAACAGACCTTACTTCAACTAGCACGGTTGAAAGGTGGAATGAGTATATTTGTTCTGAATTCATGTTATGTAGTTTAAACCTCCGTAGTATTGTACAGTAGAATAAAGGGTTGACCGATCGAATAATGCGACCGGGAATCTCGTAAGTACAATTTCTGAAGTAGGTCAAAAGTCCTTCACTCAGATAATAAATCCAGTATTTATAAGAGACCTAGGGAGCAACACCCGGCCTTTCGGCATGGCAGGCACGTGGCGTTCATGCACCGGGTCTTGAGAAGGCGAACATGCAGTCGTACACATGGTACGTGCCTCCTGACAGCAGCAGGACTCTGTTCCGACCGGTTGTCCTTCCCGACCATCGGTTTCCAGCGGCGACGGGCTCCCCGATGGCCGGCCTCGTGAAGACGGTCGGGCGTCCGGGGAGAAACTGGAGCGCGCTGTTGATTGGGCTAAACGACCATGAGCAACAGATACGGAGAGACGCAAGGGAGACCGGACGGACCTGGAGGAAGCCGGTTAGGATGAGATTTAGTGCGAAGAAGGTCCTAGGTGAAACATGCAATGAGATTTGAGTTGCTGATCAAATTTAGATCAACAGTTTAAATCAAATTTAGATCAACAGTTTAAATCAATGAATTTTATTTAAAAAAAACCCGTGTCTAGGGCTGTAAAAGAATCGAGTCAAATATCTTACTATTCAATTCCAATTCGACTATTTTGAGAACTATTTGTATTTGTTTTTTGTTTTGTGTTTTTGTTTTTGTTTTTTATTTTTTGTTTTGTTTTGTTTTGTTTTGTTTTGTTTTGTTTTGTTTTGTTTTGTTTTGTTTTTATTTTTTTTTGTTTTTATTTTTTTGTTTGTTTTTGAAAATAGAACTATTTGTATTTGATAAATATTCGAATCTGAAATTTTATTCATATTCGATTCGGCTACATTATTCAAATATATTCAATTCGACTTGAATATTCAAATTCAAAATAACTTAATTTTTTTTTCAAGTTCTCCAATAAATTAAGATAAATATAATAAAAATTTAAATCTAAATTTAAATAGCATAAAATTTTCTATTAATATACTATTTTATTATACTCATATTCTATTAATATATACTAATTTTTTTTTTTTTTGTTGGAGAAATGCTAGAGTTGCGCCTTATTATCGAAGTTGTTGAGTGCTACCTTACCGTCCTTTACCGCCGAAAGCTCAGAAAGAAAACAGATCGAAGAAGAAGCTTTAGCTATGGAGTGGCGAGTGACGACTGTGTGAGGGGAAGAAGACAACTGATGAGGACTAAGGTGATTACTTATTAAGTCGACGACAGGAGGGACTAAATCGACTAAAAATAATTGTTTTCGGGAACCAAATCGATGAATAAGCAATTGAGGGACTACATTGACAGTTTGCTAATAATTGAAGGATCAAATTGTTGATTAACTATATATATATATATATATATATATATATATATATATATATATATATATATTCAAATATTAGTAAAATGCACACACATGTACACGTTTCACGTTTGTGCATACACTATTGATATGTTTGATAGGTGATGTGCATTATTCCACAATACTATGGTTTCTTTTGCACATTAGTATGGTTGGCATGAATTGCAATTCAATGAAATAATAAACTACATCGTTTGGTTAGAGGGAATTGCAATTCCCTCAATTCATTGAATTGCAATTCATAGGTTCCCCTATGAATTGCAATTCAATGAATTCATCCATACAATGAAAAGCGAAAATGAAGGAAATGACATATTTGTCCTTGAATGTTATTATTAATATTATTACATAAGGGTATTTTAGTCTTTATATCACTTCTCCCATTTTCATTATTCTTCCTTACCAAACAATGTAATTGTAATTCATACTTTATTCCCACCTTATTTTTTTCCCACCGAATACCAATTCATTTCCTCCTTAATTCATTCCTTCCAACCAAACGCCCTGTCATGGACGAATATGCATAGTACTCAGTATTATTCCACAACATTGGGGACGCTTAGTAAAATGCACCCACATGTTTGCGTGTTTGCACACATTTAGGGTAGGCCGACCATATGCATACTAAAAACGTACAGTTATGCACACGACCCTATATCAAATGCACATGCCCCAAACTGAAACCCCCAATAGAAAACAGAAAAAAAAAAACTTACCGATATTTTCTTCTGCCATTTAAGTCAATTGGAGTTCGTCCACCGTTGAGTTCTACTCAATATGATTCCTACGTTATTTTTTTATTTTTTATTTTTTTTTTTTTTAAAGTTTTGATTCCTACCATTGATGGAATCTCTCTAAATAAGGATAATATTGTATATCAATTATATTTCAATTCAGAGAGTATAATATTATATCTTAATATAAATGGGTCTTTAAATGCAATCAGTACCATTAATTAAAATTAATTGAATGATTGAGATGAGATCTCACGATCTCATATGAACAAGGTGATCACCTGATCCTAACTCTCTCTCCCATTTCATCGCAGCCTCTTATTAGTAGAAAAACATATCAATCAATGGAGTTTTAGAGTTGGTAAAAAAAAAGTTCCATTGAAAAATGCTCTAATAATAGTAATCAAGATGGAATTCAAATTGCGTGGCTGAGGAGTCAGGCAGTGGAGACTTTTAAGTCTTGTGGAAAGTGGTGAGAAGATGATGAAAATTGTGTTCTACAATCTGGAAATAAAATGACAACTTTAAGTTATGGTCGAATGTAATGATGGGATTTATTTCCCCTCTGATCCACTCTCCCCCCAAACAACACTCCACATTCCAAAGAGAAGTCTTTTTATCATTTTATGGGCTGTATTAGTCTTGCATTACAACAATCAATTGTTATATATGGCAAATTATACTGTGCATCCGTATGCACCATGCATGGTGCATATGGATGCAAAAACGACGTCGTTTTATTAAAAACGCGCGTCTCTCCCTAAAAAAAAATTTAGGTTCGATTCCCAGCAACAACATATGAACTAAAATTTTAGAATCGATGAACTATAATTCCATAATCGATGAACTATAATTCCATAATCGATGAACTAAAATTCCAGAATCTAATCTATGAACTAAAAATTTCTGAATAAATGAACTAAAATTCCAGAATCTATGAACTAAAATTTCAGAATCGATGAACTACAATTCCAGAACCGATGAACTATAATTCCAGAATCAATGAACTATAATTTCATAATCTATGAACTAAAATTCCAGAATGAATGAATAACATAATGTTGTTGCTGGGAATCGAACTTGATTTTTTTTTTTTAAGGGGAGACACGCGTTTTTAATAAAACGACGTCGTTTTTGCATCCGTATGCACCATGCATGGTGCATACGGATGCATAGCATAACTACTCGTTATATATACCATGATTAGGATCTATTTGCCCGCATAAACACTTCAGTTGGTTACATGGATGAAGTTTGGAAAGAATGGCCTAAGATCGAGCTTCGTCAATGGCAGTGTGTGGGAGCAACCTCTCAAAGTGAGGGGGCTCCTTGTGGGCACTAAGCAAAGATCTAACCTTTGTGTTCAACTGAATTACCATAATTTACACAATTATTAAAATTTTCAATATAAACATTACAGTTTTATATTGATCCAATTCTGCCTCACATATAAAATTCGTCAAACGATCGCCACACAATTTTAATCCCAACTCCGACGCTTGCGTGTTCTAATATAAATCCGCGTTAGTCCAAATACTAAAAATAGTATTGTAAAATGTGAATACAATACTATTTTTCCTTGGGAGAAGAAGGAAAAATAGTATTGTATTCACATTTTGTAGTGCAGTCACCGTCAGTGGAAGACTTTTAAATTCTTCTTGTGGAAAACTGAAATGTGGATGGAAATGTTTTTCTATAGAGTTCTACATTTCTTTTACTACATGTATTTTTTTTTTTTTATTTCTATTTCCTCATTTTTAATTCTAGATTGACAATTGATGATTAATTATCTTCATCGTGTAGGTTCTAAAAAAATGTCAACATAAAAATTGTGAGAGGAAGTAAAATAAAATTGAAAGTAGAATTTGGGAGTATTTAATTGTATTTTCCTTATCTATATGTGCCAAGGGAATGTGTTTTTTATCCACATTAATTCTCTAATTTTAAAATACATTTTTATAGTTTCAAAAATTATTTATAATTTCAAAAAATTTAGTAGAATAACAGTATTATTTTATAATACACAAAATTAAGTAGATCAGTTTTTATTGTTAGTTGGTTAAATTGATAAAATTTTGTCATAAATTTTAATAAACTAAAATATATTTTAGAAAAATTATAATTTAATAAACTAGACAAAATAATTATCTTGCTTAAAAATAAGAATATTAAAAAAATGATGCCAATGAGACCTCAAAGAACTAATTATATTTCAATTTCTAGTAAATCAAAAGTCTCCATCGACTAGCACCTCAGCCACAATTTCAATTCCATCTTGACTACTATTATTAGTATTTCGTTTAACGCGGATAAAGAATAGAAAAAGCATAGCTAGAGGTGTGTAATTAACGAGTCAACATCAAACAATAGTTATGCACTGTGAACCCTAGTCTTAAATGACGTACTTTTGAATTTTAATAACGATTTTTTATTGTTCAATTAACGTTACATAATTTATTATTATTATTTTTTAACTGTAAAGCATATATATGTGTCTTCTGTTATGCTTTTCTATGTCTCATGTTATACAATTTTGTACCTTAAGCGGATGAATTTTGTACTTGAAATAAAGTAACTATAACATGCGTTGTTATGTCTTGTGCTATGCGTTTTTGTATCTTATGTTATGAGTTTTTGTGTCTTATATTTTGCAATTATGTACCTTAAGAATATTGATTTTGTACTTAAACTAAAGTAAATATAAAACATATTTATATCTCTTGTGTTATGCGTTTCTTTGTCTCATATTATGCAATTCTATACTTTAAGCGTATGGATTCTGTACTTAAAATAGTTTAGTAGTTGTGTTAATTACAAAATTTTGGACTAATTTGGCAAGATCATTCTTTAAACTTGATTTTTAAAGTACCTTTTTTCCCTAATTAAACTACAAATTAAAACACATTTCTAATTTTAATAAATTTCTCTCATAAATAATTTAATATCACTATTGGAAATCTCATTGTGTTCATTCAACATTTTCTGTGAGACCATTTCACAGATCCTTATCTGTGAGACAGGTAGGGTCAAGATGGAAATATATTTAAAACTTTATGAATAAAGAGTCCTCCGCAATGTCTTAATTAATTGGTTCAATAAGCTGTATTTGAAATAAGAAACTAAGATTCAAAACTTGGATAGAGTTGAGGATTCAACCTTTTGGGAGAAGATAAATATATAATATTTATATTGAAAAATGTAATACTTTTTAAAAAAAATATTACACTTCCCCTTATAAATAACCAACATTTTATTCCTAATTAGTATTATATTTTTTAGTATAAATCCGCGTTACTCCAAATACTAAAAATAGTATTGTATTCACATTTTATAGTGCAGTCACGTCAATGGAAGACTTTCAAATTCTTGTGGAAAACTGATATGTGGACGAAAAAAAAAAAGGAAGCTGCTATGATATATGTTCTGTCCAATAATGACTCATCAATCAATCAAAATCGTTGCATAGGTAGCTATGGAGAAATTTTGCTCAATCAATTTGGCTATATAAAGCACTCAACTAATAAATCCATTATATAAATGCCCAATACCCACTCACAAAGTAAATTGTGCTATTTCATGGAGATTTCTAGTTGTTTTTCCTTCTCCATCTTCTTCTTCATGCACTTCCTAGTGGTTTGCATGACCATTAATGCCCTTACCAACATCACAACCGACAAACATGCCCTCCTTTCTTTGAAATCTAGTATTTCTTTTGATCCATACAATACTTTAACTCATAATTGGTCGATCAGTAATGTATCTCCTTGTAACTGGGTTGGAGTTACTTGTAGCTCTCGTCATAATAGAGTGACGGCTTTGGACCTTTCTTACATGGGTCTTGTGGGAGAATTAACTCCACATTTGGGAAACCTCTCATTCCTTATTTCACTTAACCTGAGCCAGAACAACTTTCATAATTCCTTACCTCAAGAGCTTTCTCAATTGCGACGTCTGAAAACTCTTCAATGCAGCGTCAACAACTTTAGTGGTTTTCTTCCCCCTTCTCTGTTCAATCTTTCAAAACTTGAGATATTACACTTAGGAGACAATTCTCTTGAAGGAACTATTCCTAGAGATATTGACAACCTTCCTCGGCTAAAGTGGTTAAACATAAGCTTTAATCATTTTAGTGGGAATTTTCCTTTAGGCATCTTAAATTTGTCTATGATGGAAACTTTATCTCTCTCATATAATAGCTTCTCTGGTCATCTTCCACTCGATTTGGGAAATCATCTCCCAAGGCTCCAAACATTTATCATGGTTACGAATAAATTTGATGGTGAAATTCCTTCAAGTTTATCAAGATGTTCATTGCTTCAAACAATAGCTTTGTCTTACAACAAATTTAGTGGAAATATACCAAAGGAATATGGGAACTTAACGCGGCTTGAGTGGTTAGAACTTAACAACAATCACTTAACAGGTGAGTAAAATGTGAACTTCTATTATAGTACTTTAGTCTTGTGTTAATATAATTCACTCTTATTTATTATTTATTTATTGATAAATGTTGTTTATTAATTATTAATTTGAAAAATTATTTGCAGGCGCTATTCCAAAGGAGTTATGTGTTTCATCATCTTTGCATTATCTTTTCTTATATAACAACATACTCTCTGGTACTTCCTCATATAAATTAATTAAATATTTAATTACTAAATAATAAATAATAATTCTTCAAATTTATGATCCTTACTACAAAGCATTATATTGTTTCCCATACTCTCAGGAGCTATACCAAAGGAAATTGGAAACTTAACAGCAGTCGAGCTCTTATCTATTGAATTCAACAACTTCGGAGGTATACATTCAATGATTTGTTGCTAAACAATTCGTTCATTACATTTATTATTATTTTTTATTTTTAATTTTACATTCTTCATTTAATAAAATTTTAAATATAATTTCTAAATGTATAAATTTTGATAATGTTTTACAATGTCTAGTAGTATGAGCAGCGGCAATTATATATAGAAAAAAAAGTAGATGTATAATTTTACCTTCAATATTTAAAAATATAGAGCCACCTTCTATTAATTAATTAAAATCAACTTTCTTATATAGGGATGACATCATGTGAGAGTATTGTCCAAGTAGGAAATATGAATAAATCTCGTTAATCAATCATGAAACAATGGATGAATGAATGAGATCTATACTTAAATGAAAAAAAAATTATATTTTTGTAAAATGTAAAATTTACACGCATCAATTTTTCGATAAAACATCGTTTTGAGATAAACATGTATCACTTTGGGTAAAATATAGCTTGGTTACATTTGTCTAAAGCTCGCATTAGTTTCAATGAAAAACACTCTTTTTGTATGGGATGGAGTAATTAATATATAGAAGTTTTAAGTATTAGTATTGTGTAAAACTACGCCATTTTGAAGAAAATTCATATTGTTTTAGACAAAATATGCATAACATATCAAGAAATCTAACCACGCATTGTTTTGAGATAAATACACATGTTTTTTACACGCATTGTTTTCAGATAAATATGCATTATATTGTCAAAACAAATATTATCCTACTTAAAACCAATTATTTTGGCCCAAATATTATTAGGAAGCTAAACATATGCTCTTGGGACAAATACGTAGGGATGACAACGGAGTGGGGCGGGAGCGGGGAGTACACTTCCCGTCCCCGTCCCCGTCCCCGCGAAGAATTAAACGGGGACGGGGATTCTCCATTCCCCGTAAACTCCAAGTCAAAATGTTAAATAATTAAAATTTTTAATAATAATAAAAATTAAAATCTAAATCCTAGGTTCAAAAATTAAAATACTAAGTCTACAAATAAATAAATAAATAAATAAATAAATAAATAAATAAATAAATAAATAAATATATATATATATATATATATATATATATATATATATATATATATATATATATATATATATATATTTATTTATTTATTTATTTATTCGGGGACGGGGACGGGGTCCCTGACGGAAAATCACACATATTTCCCGTTCCCGTCTCCATTCTCCGAAAATTTTTTTCATTCCTGTCTCAGTCGGGGCGGGGATCGGGGATCCCTATCGGGGATGGGGCATATTGCCATCCCTACAAATACGGGTGCTTTTCTCATCAGGGCCGTATTTTAAGTTTTTGTGGCCCTGTTCTAGTAAATAAATGTGGCCCTACAAAATTACAATTTTGAAAACCAATACATGTAAGTTTCGAACCTTTGACCTACAAGTTAAAATACAATAAATACATATTCTCACCACCTCTTCATAAAACCTTTTATATTCAATTGAAAACTTTTAATTTTTATTTCGAAACTAACTGTGTAAAAATTAAATATTAAACCTCTAAAATTTGGGGCCCCTCTAAAATTGGGGGCCCTGTGCGGTAGCCCAGCTTGCACAGCCTAAAATCCGGCCATGTTTCTCATTCTAACTTCTATTTATTAGTAAAAATGTTACCTTAATTAGGGTTCTAGAAATCTTTTATCAAATCTAAGCATAAATAATTTTTTTTAAAGGCAAATAAGTAAACAAGAATGTATTTAATTTGTGTGTAGAACTATCAAAACGAGTTTAGCATACAGCATACTCACCGAGCTAACTGACCCAACCATATAATAGGTAGCAATGAGATAGGGATTTAAATTAGAGGCCAATCTAGCTTTGGGCGGGTTTAATAGGCCTTCCTATAAAGACCCATGGGCCATGACAGTTAGCCCTACCAAATGACAAGCTTTGACAATTCCATCTTGTCTGCCCTTTTTAAGGATAGTTATGCTGTGCATCCGTATGCACCATGCATGGTGCATACGGATGCCAAAACGACGTCGTTTTATTAAAAAACGCGCGTCTCCCCTTTAAAAAAAAATTCAGGTTCGATTCCCAGCAACAACATTATATTGTTCATTCATTCTGGAATTTTAGTTAATAGATTATGGAATTATAGTTCATTGATTATGGAATTATAGTTCATCGATTATGGAATTGTAGTTCATCGATTCTGAAATTTTAGTTTATAGATTATGGAATTTTAGTTCATTCATTCTGGAATTTTTAGTTCATAGATTAGATTATGGAATTATAGTTCATCGATTATGGAATTTTAGTTCATATGTTGTTGTTGGGAATCGAACCTGATTTTTTTTTTTTTTTTTTAAGGGGAGACGCGCGTTTTATTAAAACGACGTCGTTTTTGCATCCGTATGCACCATGCATGGTGCATACGGATGCACAGCATAATTTGCCCCTTTTTAACAGTATTGTGTGTGTATTTCTATATAATGAGCTTACATGAATATTAATACTTGGCAGGTGTAATACCACAAGAAATTGGAAAACTTTATACATTGAAGTGGGTAGGATTGGGATCCGCTAACTTAAGTGGGACAATACCAAAAGAAATTTTCAACATTTCTTCATTGATATTTATTGAACTTTCAGACAACAACCTTGTGGGCACTCTCCCCACAAGTATTGGGTATGCTCTACCAGATCTAGAAATTCTCTATCTTGGTATCAATTTCATCTTGGGAGTAATACCAGATTCAATATCAAATTGTTCAAAACTTACTATCTTATCCCTTGAAGGTAATAGATTTAGCGGCACGTTACCTACATTTCTTGGAAATCTAAGACTCCTAGAACAGCTACATTTGCAAGGTAACATGCTCACTAACAACCCTGCATCACAAGAGTTAAGTATCATCAACTCCTTGGTTAATTGCAATTATATAAAAGAAGTATTGTTAACTGGTAACCCTCTATATGCTATCCTTCCATCATCCATTGGGAATCTTTCCTCATCTTTTGAGTTTCTTGCTGTTGAGGATTGTGGGTTAAAGGGCACCATTCCTAATCAAATTGGGAACTTAAGTAGCTTGGTTACCTTAAATCTGGAAAGCAATAACTTAAGGGGGTTTATTCCACCAGTACTTGGAAGGGTACATGAGCTTCAACGGTTGTATCTTGGTAGTAACAAATTCAATGGTCCCATTCCTCATAGCCTTTGTGAAGTCAAGTATCTAGGGGAATTATATTTACACAACAATCAACTTTCTGGTGGTGTACCAAAATGCTTTGGTAATAGTACTTCCCTTAGGAATATTGATTTTGGTTCAAACCGTTTGTCTTCAAGAATACCTTCAAGTTTGTGTTCTCTCAGAGATCTATTAACGCTTGATTTGAGTTCAAATTTTTTGGATGGATTTCTACCTGTTGAAGTTGAAGGGTTTAAGGCACTTTACTCTCTTAACATATCTCAGAATGAGATCTCGGGAAATATCCCAATTACAATTGGACAGTTGCAAAATTTACAATCTCTTTCCCTTGCAAACAATAGACTAGAAGGGTTTATTCCAAAACAAATAAGTCAAATTATTTCCTTGAAATTTTTGGACTTATCTTTGAATAGACTCTCGGGTTCAATTCCAGTGTCTTTGGAAAGACTTGCGTACCTCAAATACTTTAATGTCTCTTTCAACGAATTGAGTGGTGAAATTCCATCCGGTGGTTGTTTCAAGAATTTCACAAGTGCGTCGTTCTTGTTCAATGAGGAGCTATGTGGAATTCCAAAATTTCATGTCCCACCTTGTCATTTTGCTCACCATTCAAAGATTAAAACAGTACTTCTCATTGCAGTTGCATCTTTGGGAGCTACTGTAATAATTACTTTTTTAATTGTTGCAACTATCTTGACAAGGCAACGAAAGAAACATGATGTCCCAATTGTGATGAATATCCACATTCCATTGGATGAAATAAGGATATCTTATTTTGAACTTGTAAGGGCTACAAGTGGATTCAGCCAAAGTAATCTTATAGGTTCAGGGAGTTTTGGCTCTGTTTATAAAGGGATTTTGAATAACGGAATGCCTATTGCAGTGAAGGTGTTTAATCAATCAGAACGTGCTCTTAGGAGTTTTGATGTTGAGTGTGAAGTGCTAAGGAATTTACGCCATCGAAATCTCACTAAAGTTATTACCTGTTGCTTTTCGGACAACTACAAGGCCTTGGTCCTTGAATACATGTCAAATGGAAGTCTTGACCAGTGGTTGCACTCTCAGAGTAACTTCTTAGATTTTATTCAAAGGTTGAATATAATGATTGATGTTGCATGTGCTTTAGAGTATCTTCATCACGGTTATACAATACCAATAGTTCATTGTGATTTAAAACCTGCAAATGTGTTATTGGATGAAGATATGGTTGCCCATGTAAGTGATTTTAGTGTGACAAAGCTTTTAACCAAGGAAGAAAACTTCTTGCAAACAGAAACTCTAGCAACATTGGGCTATATGGCACCAGGTAAATGCAATTTTAGCTTTCATTGAATTATTTATCCATAAATTTACAATATTTGCAAGTTCGATGGACATAGCCCTTTGATTTTTGATTCAAAAATATTGATTTTAGTTTTCATAATCATAGAGTATGGATCAACGGGAATGGTATCAACACAATGTGACACTTATAGCTTTGGGGTTGTGTTAATGGAAACATTCTCGAAAAGAAGGCCCATAGATGAATATTTTAGTGAGGATTTGAGCTTAAAAAGTTGGATGAGAAATTCTATACCTCACCACATACTTGAAGTTGTAGATTCCAACTTATTGAAGGTAGAGGATAAAGACTTCACTGCGAAATTGCAATGTGTATCCTCTACACTAGAATTGGCATTACAATGTGTTGCGGACTCTCCAGAAATGCGGTTAAATATGAAAGATGTAGTAGCAAGGTTGAATCGAATCAAACTTCAATTTCTAAGAGATTGTGATGGTATAGTGTGCTATCTAAAATTGTTTTGTAAAAGTGAAAATTTTCATTCCACAATTTCTTATTTATTTGTTTGTTTATTTTTTGCAGCTCGTAGAGTTTAAAAGTAGAGGATGAAATGAAGGTAATTGCTCAACCAAATCTCTGCATGGTAAGCTAAGGTAAGGTAAGACAATTATATCTTTTGAATTAGTGATCCTTCTCTTGATCGCAATGTATTTATGTCATTAGAAAATAGTAGAAGATTTTCTTTATATAGATTTGTTAATTTCTTAAAATGTAATTCAATATTATTTGTTTTTTAGGATGCCCTAAATTGTACTCTTAAGTCTTAATGCTATAGTGATATTCTGGAAAGGGAGGATTTACCTTAGTTGTTGTTTGATGTTTTTAAATCATGGTTGTTATTTTATCTTTCTTATTTTACTTATTGGGTCTTTGATAGTCGTCTTTGGTTCATTTTGTTGTTAGATGTTTTGTTTTTGGTATAGTAACTGACCGTTCTCGAGCACTTTTTATTGTATGGTGCTAAAAATTATTTTTGTATAGATTTAATAATGTTAATTGATGTAATTTTAATTTATGAACTTATACTCTTCAAATTTATTTTGTAATACCTTCATGGGTTAATACTTATTTAGACAAAATAAAATTAGGACTCAGTCATTGCTAGGCCCTTGGATCTAAAATATTTGCATCGGAGACTTGTATGGGGAAGCCTTATCGTTAACCTCTTTCACTATCCACAGATCTTACCTGGTAGATCTTAAGATTCCAATGGAACTTAGGAATGATTGTTGTCTTCTTTTGGGTAAAGTCAAAGAAATTTTGAAATCAAAGGATGGAGTTGCGTGACTAGCTAGATAAATCAAAATAGTTCTAATTCTAGATGGTGAAGATAAGACTGTTGACATAATAATATAATAATAATAATAAGAGTTAATATCATCTCGAGTCCTCCTAGTATGGTGGTTTTGCCACGTTTAATCCTAAACTTTCAAATTACAACCCATGATCCTTGGACATTCAAATTGTTACCATATGTGGTTCAACTTAACCACTCATAATCCTTCGACCCCTATCAAATTTTAACCACACATGGTCCTTTCAAGAGGACCACAACTGGTTAAATTTTGAAAGTTGAAGGACCATGTGTAGTTAACTTAGACTATATGGATGTTAACAATTTGAAAGTCGAAGGACCATGGTTGGTAATTTGAAAGTTTAGGACTAAACGTGACAAAATCACTATACTCGGAGGATCCTAGATGGTATTAACTCTAATAATAATAATAACAATAGAGGTATTAATTATTATCGCCATTAGTATATGTTTTTTTTTTTTTTTTTTTTTTTTTTTTTTTTTTTTTGTAGTGACTTCTTCAAATTCGGTATAACTTTAGCACAGTTCAAAATGGTGCACTTTCAAGATCAACGACTTGACGAGCAAAAGAACCTGGTGATATCAAGCAATAGGAGCGACCATAAAGTCATGTTAGCGGTTAACCCACCCATAGTACCACGTGACCAGACAAAGCTCGTGGTGTCATATCATGAACGCAACTGGACTCCGGAGTATGATCGTCCGCCATCCAAGGTGTGGACCTTGCTGCCAGGAATGTGGCACAAACCATCCAAAGACACACTTCCCACGCTGGGGAATCACATACTCAACGCTGAAGTCTTGTCGCCGAGGCCAAGACATAAACTTCGATAGTGAGTTCGCTTATCTGAAAGGATACTGGGAGTGGGCTAAAGACACACTTACTTCTTCAGCAAGACCTTAAAGGACAACCTGATATATGATGTTGTGTAAGCATCATTGTTCACATATGACCGTAATACTAGCATCGTTCAAGCCTTTTGTGAAGCATGGTACCCGCGAACTAACACACTGATTACCTCGTCCTGTGAGTTGAGCATATCATCTCGGGATTTGCACATACTTGGGGGACTACCATTATCCAACGACATTTATGACGAACGCATCCCAAGTGCCTTGGACCTGACCAAGAATTCAAACAAGTGTTGCATGTGCTTATTCGAGACGTTTTACCGTTTAAATCAACAAGAAGATGACACTACCTATGTTCAAGCATCACGATGGATCAGCTTCTGGTGCAGGAAAACACGATGGATCAATCCATCATGATGCTTGAACATAGGTGGTGTCATCTTTGGATCAATCCATCATGGGAAGTGTGTCTATGTCTTGGTCCTGACCACGAGAATTCAGCGTTGAGTATGCAATTCCCCAGCGTGGGAAGTGTGTCTTTGGATGGTTTGTGCCGCATTCATGGTAGCAAGGTCCACACCTCGGATGTCGGACGATCATACTCCAGAGTCCAATTGCGTTCATGATACGATACCACGAGCTTTGGCTGGTCAAGTGGTACTATGGGTGGGTTAACCGCCAACATGACTTTACAGGGCGTTTGGTTAGAGGGGGGAATTATGTGGGAAAGGAATTGTACCACTTAGGTCTACGTTGCCACGATATTTTTCTATGGAAGCGGGCGGGTTAGAAGTTCGGCCCGATTTTTTTGGTTTCGTAGGGGAGGGCCCACCAACTTCCTGGCAAAATGCCTACGGTTAAAAACCACCGACATGTCAAGATCCAAGTTAGAATTAGGCCCTGGTCCTGGTCCTGGTCAGAGACCACTGTGTTCGCGGTGCGGAGCCTTCCACTGTGGACCGAGACTACGCAAAGGTAGAACACCATAGAAACTTCGCTTACTTAGGGGGGAATTATGTGGGAAAGGAATTGTAATTCCATGGGAGTTGAATTACTGGGAATAAAGTGAGAATTTAAATTCCAGTGTTTGGTTGACAGGAATAGAATTACTAGGAATTTCAATTCCAATGTTTGGTATACATGGGAATTGAAAGAGAATAAGTAGTATATAGTCAAAAATGTCCATTATTGTTGTTAGACATTAATTTTAAGTTAAAAAAGGAAGGGGTAATGTTGACTCATCACTATCTTTTTTCCCCAGGAATTAAAATACCAGGGGGGACATGGGATTTTAATTCCATGAAAATGGGGGAATTGCAATTCCCTCCAACCAAACTACAGGAATTTAATGACCTTTGGAATTAGGTGGGAATTAAGTGGGAAGGGAATTTAAAATCCCTCCAACCAAACGCCCTGTTATAGTTACTCCTGTTGCCAAACGCCCTGTTATAGTTACTCCTGTTGCCAAACGCCCTGTTATAGTTACTCCTGTTGCCAAACGCCCTGTTATAGTTACTCCTGTTGCCAAACGCCCTGTTATAGTTACTCCTGTTGCCAAACGCCCTGTTATAGTTACTCCTGTTGCCAAACGCCCTGTTATAGTTACTCCTGTTGCTTGATATCACCAAGTTCTTTTGCTCGTCAAGTCGTTGATCTTGAAAGTGCACCATTTTAAACTGTAAAGTTATACCGAATTTGAAGAAGTCTGCAAAAAAAAACATATACTATTATTATTATTATTATTATTAGAATATTGAAAAGCAAACAAAGGACGAAACGAAAGCAACAAAACAAGGAAGAAAACAAAAAGAAACAAAGAAAAAGCAAAAGCAGAAAACAAGGAAATGAATTAAAAGACTAAAAAAAAAACTAGAAAGCAGAAAGAGAGAAAAAAAAACGAAAAGGCATGGAGAAAAGCTTTTGCGGCTCTGTGCGTGTCATCATCATCGTAGTATACAGAGAGACAGCAGCGGACTCCAATACACCTCCTGCAACGGCAACAGTAGAGAAACAGAGCCTCTGCGATGCAGTCCAACAGTGACGAAAATAGACTCCAACAGACGGTAAGCAACTCCGGCGAAGAGCTCCAGCAGCGGGCGGTCTCCAGCGATGGCTGACCAACACCAGGTGGCAGTCTGCAATTGACAAGGCAGCGGCGTGGGCGGTTGAGCAGCGGCCTCCAGCGAAGAACTCTAGCAGCTCCGGGATTCGAGCACTGCAAGTAGAAACCCACGCCCCGGTGGTTGTTCTAACTTGCTTGGCAGATTTCCCGTCGCCCCTCTTAGATTTTTGCACTACCGATGGAAACCCACACTCCGGCGGTAACACATTGGTTTCGCACACTGGTGGTTCTTCCATGAGGTTGGCAACATTCCTTGAGGCAGTTAATGGCGGCGATTGACAAAATCCAGCACTCCCGGATCGCTTCGTACGTTTATGTTGATCCCAGTTTCCCTCTCGTTTTTATGGTGCAGCTGTATGTATTGTCATTCCTGCAGATAAAAACGTACATGGGGAAGAGGAAGATACAAAGGTGAGAATTTTACCTGATTGAGAAGTAGATTGCGAGTTGTTCTTCTTTGGTCTTCTGTTTCGGTGGGTATGAAGTGTAGGGGTTTTGGTCCTATTTATAATGTATTATAAGATGGTATCACAATTAGAATTGAATTGAAACTCCACAGTTCTATTAAGAGTGTGATGAGTGTGATTGAGCTTGTGTGGTGGTGGGATTCGTATGCTGCTAGAGTTCCATTCACTTATATTTTTGAATCAACAATCATTATTGGTCCACACAAGTTGTATGGACCATATTTCAACTATGTAAAATAATGTACATTCAATATAAAAATAATATACATTCAATACAAAAATAATGTAAATTGTATTTAGGTGATAGTACATTATTTTTGTTCTAAGTGTACATTATATTGTATAATGTATATTCAGTACAAAAATAATTTACATTTAATATATTAAAAATATACTTTTTGTTATGATTCACATAACATTGTATGGACCATGGTCCAGACAATAATTTGCCTGGTCCCAATCAGTTGAAGAGGAATTTGATTGTTGATGGGCTCAGAATTTTAAATGGGTCAATAAATGTTGTATAAGCTTAATATCCAACATGGCAAAATCTTCATAGGAAGGTTATCGATTTATATAGGTTGTAAGAAAATAAAAAATATGATGTTAGATTGTTACTTTGTTTGAAAATATGATGTTAGGTGTTAGAAAATCAATCGTTATAGTGCACACGATTGCAAGTGACGTCGTTTCACTTTGGTGGAGTAATTTAACTCGAGTGTGGGGGGCCCTTAGCATTGGGGATTCAAGTCTTTTGGGATAAGGAGTAGTTTAACTCCACCAATTAGTTATTTATTTTTTTATTTATTTATTTATTTTTAACTCCACCAATATGAATATATAGTTCATTCATGCTGAATACACAGTACCAATAACCGCTTAACCGGTGTAGATATATACTTCACTAATTTTGGATATATAGTTCACTAATTCTGGATATATAGTTCATTAATTCTGGATGCAGATATGTAGTTCATTAATTCTATATGTGGATATATAGTTCACTAATTCTGGATATATAGTTCATTAATTCTGGATATATAGTTCATTAAGTATGGATATATAGTCAGTGGCGGATCCAAAAAATCATCTGAGTGGGGCGAATATTAAATGACGTTAGAAATGTCAATGACAAAATATCAAACAACCATAATAAGGTTAAAATACAAATTACATTATAAATTACAATATATTTATGAGAAAATATGAAACATAATCAATTAAATAAAATAATTTGAATAACAATATATTTATAAATACTTTTAAATTTTAATTTCTTTTAGTTAGATCGATTTTTCTAAATTAATTCGAATACAATAAAGTATATTATAAATTTGTATACTACATTAATTAAATGATTTATAAAAACTAGACTAAAAGCATTTAATTTGTTAATTAAATGAATAGACTCAAAATATTTAATTTATCTTGTAAAGAAATGAAAGAGAGAAGATAATTAAAAGTGTTGCTAATGAGATTTGAACCCATGACATAAGCCTTTTATAACATAAAATTTGAAATTTAACCAACTAAGCCACTCAAACTATTAGTATATATTTTCAACCATAAACATAAATTTTATATAATATTTCGTGTTTTATATATATATATATATATATATATATATATATATATATATATATATATATATCTACTATACTAATAAGAGCCCAAGAGAGTTAGGCCTATAATGGGTAGAAAAAATGGCAGTCACAGATTTTAATCAAATGAATGACTCAGATTGATTAAAAGATTGATAAGATTTAAATTTTACACTAAAGTTTTCTAAAATACCCACACACCGTTACTAATTCCGTTAAAATTTTAAGAATTGCCGTTAGTTCACCGTTAACTTACTCATTGATTTCAATTAAAAAAAAAAAGGTCTTAGGTTCGAATCTCATCCCAATCAAATTAAAGTTGGCATAATTAGTACTCTATTTTACTCTTATTAAATTATATAAATAATAATTTAATAGCTACAACAAAAAATTATAGATATGCATTTCTTTAATTTAGAATTATGTGTCCACAATGCCTTTATTCAAAAAAAAAATTATTCATTATCAATAAATTAAATAAGAGAAATAATTGTATTATTAGTTATATTGTCTTTATTTTTCTACAATATAAAAATTCTTTATATTCAAATTTATTAATTGATTATAATCGCTACATTGTCCTTACAATGTCTTAATTCAGTGAAAAAAAAATTACTCATTATCAATAAATTAATTAAGAGAAATATTTTCTTTAGTTATATTGTCTTTATTTTTCTCAAATGTAAAAATTTTTACATTCAAATTCATCAATTGATTATATTCACTACATTGTCTATTATCTTTTTTTTGCACTATTTTTCTAAATAAATATCAAAGTTATAATACAAAATAATGCTATATATTTATTTACCAAGTATTTTATTAATACCATGAAAAAATTTAATTATTAACATTGGGTAGAAAAAATGACCGCCAAAATATTAAATCAAATGAATGGTTCAAATTGTTCAGGTTTTAATTTTTTTTTAAAAATTTTCTAATTTATCCTTAATTATATGATTATCCATTTAACTTTTTCGTTAAATACCGTTAGTCTAATTATAATATTAACGTCTAATATAGAATTATAATTACACCATTAATCTAATTATAATATTAAAGTCTTAATAGAACTTAACCACAAATCCTAATGTCGAAATCTCCTCAAACAATATTAGTATATATTTAATATTTTATGCCCTAATTTTTATTTGTTCTCCCTTATGTCCCGTATTTGGTTTCAACCATACCTATACAATTATTTTATTGACAATTATAATCAATCTTGACTATATTATCTTGCATTTGTAAACTTAGAATTACCTATTTAACCCGCACGGGCTTAGCTCAATGGTTTAGTGGGCAGTATTTGGGAGAAGAGACCAAGGTTTGAACCTCAGCGGCGGCAGTGCGGGAATTATGTCCAAAGTGGGCAGATTCCTTGTTCGCACAGACATTTGGTCCTGTTTGCTGAACCATTGAGTCACCGTGATTTACAACTTCCTACAATGCTCTGTCGGGTCAGAGTGTGGGGGGCCCTTGAGGTAGGGGACTCAACCTTTGGGAGAAGAATTACCTATTTAAATACGCAAATTCAACCTTCAATTATCTATGCATGAACAATTTCAATATAATCTTGCCTTAATATACTTTAAAGTACTTATTAAAAAAAAAAAACATTGGGCATTATCCCAATCGCGCAATGCGCGTAAAAAACTAGTGTATACTAATAAGAGCCCAAGAGAGTTAAGCCTATAATGGATAGAAAAAATGACGGTTAAATTTTGTAATCAAATGAATGGCTTAGATTGGTCAGATTTTAATTTTTCCTTAAGATTTCCTAATTTATCCTTAATGAATATGATTGTCCTTTAACTTTTCTGTTAAATATTATCTTTTCCATTAATTTCTATTAGTTCACCGTTAACTTACTCATTGATTTCAATAAAAAAAAAGTTTTAGGTTCGAACCTCATCCCAACCAAAATTGGCATAATTAGTACTCTATTTTATTCTTATTAAATTAAATAATAATTTAGTAGCTACAACAAAAAATAATACATATGCATTTCTTTAATTTAGAATGATGTGTCTACAATGTCTTTATTCAAAAAAAATTATTCATTATCAATAAATTAAATAAGAGAAATAATTTCATTAGTTATATTGTATTTATTTTTCTCCAATATAAAAATTCTTTACATTCAAATTCATCAATTGATTATATTCGCTACATTGTCCCTACAATGTCTTTATTAAAAAAAAATTATTCATTATCAATAAATTAATTAAGATAAATAATTTTATTAGTTATATTGTCTTTATATTTCTCCAATGTAAAAATTGTTTACATTCAAATTCATCAATTGATTATATTCACTACATTATCTGTTATCTTTTTTGTGCACTATTTTTTAATTAAATATCAAAGTTATAATACAAAATAATGCTATATATTTATTTACCAAGTATTTTATTAATACCATGAAAAAATTTAAAAAAATATAATTAATAAAGTCAATCATATTAACTACGTGAGGGATTTGTTGACAAAGAGAGTATTCAAATCACACAACAAATTGAAGTGAGAACTACCTTGCAATGTCCTTGTTTGACAATCAGCAGTTAGCGGTTAGCGTTAGCGGATTATATTAGCGAATTTGACCAGCGAATTATATCAACGGTTGGTAAAAAGATATTTGAAAAAATTAGTTGTTTAGATTAACATGTAAAATGATATAAGAGTATACATATATTTAATAATAATAATAATAATAATAATAATAATAATAATAATAATAATAATAATAATTGTTTAAAATATATATAAATAAATAAATAAATATATATATATATATATATATATATATATATATATATATATATATATATATATATATATATATATATATATAAGCGAATCATATTAACTACTTGGGATTTATTGATAAAAAGAGTATTCAAATCACACAACAAATTGAAGTGAAAAACTATCTCGCAATGTCCTTGTTTGGCAATCCGCAGTTAGCTCTTCAATATTAGTATTTATTTAATATTTTATGTCCTAATTTTTATTTGTTCTCTCTTATGTCCCCCGTATTTGGTTTCAACCATATATATAGAATTATTTTATTGACAATTATAATCAATCTTGACTATATTATCTTGCTTTTGTAAACTTAGAATTGACTATTTAAATACATAAATTTAACATTCAATTATCTATGCATGAACAATTCCAATATAATCTTGCCTTGATATACTTTAAACTACTTATTTAAAAAAAAAAAAAAACATTGGGCATTATCTTAATCGCGCAATGCGCGTAAAAAACTAGTACATATATATAAAGGGGTGGGGTGGGGTGGGGTGGGGGTGAGTGGGGGCAGCTGCCCCCACTGTTCCCACATTGGGTCCGCCCATGTATATAGTTCTTTAATTCTAGATATATAGTTCACTAATTCTAAATTTATAGTTCATTAATTCTGAATATATAGTTCATTAATTCTGAATATATAGTTTATTCATTCTGAATACACAGACGCAGCGAACTGCCATAAGCCAACACAGAGTACTAGTAACCGTTGTGTATATATAGTTCACTAATTCTGGATATTTAGTTCATTAATTCTGGATATATAGTTCAAATTATGCACAACATAACGCCGTTAACGGCAATCGACAATGAAATTTTTTTATTTTAAAGCCGGACAACATCATTTTTAATCAAAACGACGTCGTTTTGTAACAGTGTGCACACAATTGTATGGCATAATTTGCGTTAGAAAACTATGCTTCTATTTTCCATTTTCTATTTTCTTTTTCTTTTCTTTTTTTTTTAATCAATAAAGAGGAATACCCTAAAAACATGTACTTAATAATGTGATTGCTCTATCCCCATTTATGGGGATTCTACCTGGGTAATTCACCCCACACTTGTCGTCCCAAACCATAGCACAGGTATCCATCGAGGGATCCTCCAAGATTCCAAGCCTATCTCATGAGTGAATGATCTTATTATATTCCTTAAAAATGTTATGAACCTCCACTGCTTCAAAACCTTTGATCTCTCTCATGCATGTTTTCATAGTATTTTTGTCCTGACCATGAATAGCACAACCCCTCAATACTTTCGTTCTTAGGCAGGACTGAAAGGCAAGAAGTTGAAAATCATCAGAAGCTAAGCTATTGCTACTAATGGAAAGGGCTGAATACAACAAAAGAAATTAATTCAAATCCCCGTGCAAAGTTTTCGAAATAGTTGTTTGTTTAACAAAAGAAATGACTGCATTGCAAAAATAATCTAACATTTGGTTAATTTCTGAAAGAATAAGTGCAAATTAAAGGAGGAGATCGACTTTGGAGTTAGATGTTAAACATGTCAACATTAGCTTATTATTGATCTGGTTTTTCATGTTGTGGACATACATCTCCAAGCTGTTCCGAACCGGGCATCAATTCTTTCTTTTACCTTCTTGTCATCCTCACCAAACTCTTCAGCCTCCCTCACCATCCGCTCAATTTCTTCCTGGCTCAACAGGCCTTTATCATTAGTGATGGTAATCTTCTCAGATCACCCAGAGGCCTTGTCTTCGGCTTTAACGTTCAGGATGCACGTTAGCATCCACCACAAATGTAACTTCAATCTCAGGTGTTCCTTTGTTCCAGCTCAGTGGCTTTTGGATTTCTTTGCTGTTGCTGTTCACCAACTTTAACAGTCAGTTCATCAATCTTGGCTTCAGATCAGCTGATTCCAGCAAATTAAAGAGACCCTTTCTCAAAGTTTGATCTGAACACCTGCAGGCAGCGGAAAGAGTCAATTATATAACAACACAATTCGTAGATTTTTTACTTTTTTAGTACTACAACTACAGAATCTGACATTTATAAATGAAAATCTGTAGTTTATGATGGAGTATGTAGTTGATAGCAATATGTGTTGGTAATTTGTCAACCGACCTAATATTCACATCAACCAACAAATATACAGATCGAGTTCAAAGGAACTACTACTTGATAGGTATTAAATGTGGCAGCTCTTCATTCATCCCTTCAACTGTGTGATCGAGCTCATGCTCCATTTTCCGGTTCTAGTCAACAAGTAATGACTCAAGTTTACTCATCTCTTTCCACTGGTACGGTAGCGGCTTCCCAATCTTCAGCCTCAATAGAGTTGTAGCCCACAGCCTATAAATAGACTAGTAGTGTACATGTGAAACATCATGGTAGACCAGGGAACAAGATCAAGTACAGGAGTAGATGTCATTTATGATGAAACAACAGAAAAGTTAAGTTACTCAGTTTAAGACCATTACCCAACTCTCAAGATAAGTTACTCAATGTGAACTCATTACACCTAAACCCTCAAGATAAAATGTCTTCCTCATCTAGTATAAGACCATTACCCAATGATGCCCCCTACTTAGTGTAAGACCATTTCCCAAAGCTTTTAATTTTACGAATTAAATGTTTTTTCTTCAACTCCTATCTTGTGTCAAAATAATTCTTTCACTTAGCATTCTACCTCAAAATAATATCCTTACCTAGGAGCTGGAGCTATTCCAGTTAGATCAAATTTTCCAAGCAAGCAACCTGTTGTCCTTTGTGAGACTCCTTAGCTTTCACCTTCAAAGACCTGAACAATGCACAAAATTGCCCTACATGATTTAATGATATCTCAACTGATAAACTTATAATTGCCTCATCATTGAAGTATGCTGCAACCAAATTCAAAGGAGAGGGAGCGTGCCAATTTCAGTAATCACATTAAATTAAAATCTCAACCATACCATTACTCAATTTTACTTGGAACGGTGACAACTGCATCAAGGTAAGCTTTTCAGCTGTTTCCTTCCAATTTTATCAGCTCCCAACACTTCTTAGAAGTTGAAGTTTGATTTTATTCAGTCTTACTACAACATCTTCTGCATTTAAACGCTTTTGAGGGGATTCATCTGCACAATGCAATGCCAATTCTAATATGGACGATATAGACTGCAATTTCACATTGAAGTCTTCATCATCTGCCCTTAGTAAGTTGGGATCTACAACTTGAAGTACATCGTGAGGCATAGAATCACTTATCCAACTTTTCAAGCTCATATCTTCACCAAATGTTTCATCTGTGGGCCTTCTTGCTGAAAATGTTTCCATTAGCACAATTCCAAAACTATAAATGTCACATTGTGTTGATATCATTCCTGTGGATCCATACTCTGCGATTATGAAAACTACCATCAATCCATCATAAGATTTGGAATGGAAAATGGACGACTAGTCCATGATTATTTTAAAATATTTTAGGAATAAATTGAATGAAAGATTAAAATCGCATTTACCTGGTGCCATATAGCCTAGTGTTGCTAGAGTTTCGGTATGCTTGAAGCTCTCCTCCTTAGTTAACAACTTTGTCACACTAAAATCACATACATGGGCTACCATTTCTTCATCTAATAACACATTTGCAGGCTTTAAATCACAATGAACCACCGGCATTGCGTAACCATTATGAAGATAGTCCAAGCCACATGCAACATCAATCATTATATTCAACCTCTGAGTCATATCCAAGAAGTTTCTTTGTGAATGTAGCCACTGGTGAAGGCTTCCATTTGGCATGTACTCAAGGACCAAGGCCTTAAAGTCAACGGCAAAACATCCAGTAATGACCTTAGTGAGATTTCGATGGCGCAAATTCTTTAGCACTTCAACCTCAACATTAAAACTCTCAAGTGCATCATCTGATTGATTAAATACCTTCACTGCTATAAGCGTCCCGTCATCCAAAGTCCCTTTATACACAGAGCCAAAACTCCCTGAACTAATGAGATTGTTTTTGCTAAAGCAAGAAGTAGCCCTTGAAAGCTCATCATAAGAAATCCTTAATTTATCCCATGGAAAGCCAATATCCGTCATACTTGGTACTTGAAATTTCCTTTGTCGCTTTGCAAGGAGAAATGCAATAATTACAAAAGTAATTATCAATGAAGCTCCAAGAGATGCAAGAGCAATAAGAAGTCTTCTTTTAATCCTTGAATGGTGGGTAGAATGGCACGGTGGTACGTGAAACTTAGGATTTCCACATAACTCCTTGTTGAACATGAATGATGTACTTGAGAAGTTTTTGAAACAACCAGCTGATGGAATTTCACCACTCAATTCATTGAATGAGACATTGAAGTGTTTGAGGTATGCAAGTCTTTCCAATGATACCGGAATCGAACCAAAGAGTTTGTTTAGAGACAAATCTAAGAATTCCAAGGAAACAATTTGACTTATTTGCTTTGGAATAGATCCTTCTAGTTTATTCCGTTCAAGAGAAAGAGAAATCAAATTATGCAATTGTCCAATAGTGACAGGGATATTTCCTGAGATTTGATTGTGGGAAATGTCTAGAAGTGAAAGTGCCTTCAAACCTTCAACATCATTGGGTATATATCCATCTAAGAAGTTTGAACTCAAATCAAGCACTAGCAAGTCTTTGAGATACCACAAACTTAAAGGTATTTTAGAAGTCAAACGGTTTGAATCTAGATATATTTTTTTGAGGGAAGTGCTATTTCCAAAGCATTTTAACAAACTGCCAGACAACTGATTGGTGCTCAAGAATAATCCATATAGATAGTGAAGATCACAAAGGCTATCAGGAATGGAACCAATCAATTTGTTATTACTGAGATCCAATCCTTGGAGCTTACTAGCCCTACCTAGCATTGGTGGAATAAACCCGACCAAGTCATTGCTACCCAGAGCCAAGATAATCAAGTTGCTTAACTTTCCTAGTTGCTTTGGTATGATTTGCTTTAACCCACAACTCGGCATAGACAAAACTTGAAGGGAAGAAGAAAGATTCCCAATTGATGACGGAAGGATAGCATCTAGAGGGTTATCATCTAAGTATACCTCCTCCAAGTAAATGCAATTTACAAAAGAGTTGATAATACTTAACTCTAGAGATTCAGCATTGTTTGTGAGCATGTTTTCATTTACACGTAGTCTCTTTAGGAGCCTTAGATTACCAAGAGATGTAGGTAATGTGCCGCTAAAATGGTTTGAGGCAAGAACTAAAAGAGTAAGTTTTGAACAATTTGAGATAGAATCTGGTATCACTCCAAAGAGCCTATTTTCATGAAGATATAGTTGCTCTAAGTTCAATAGAACATGCCCCATGCTTGAAGGAAGTGCACCCACAAGGTTATTGAACGCAAATGAAATTATTTTTAAAGAAGAAATGTTGAAGACTTCCTTGGGTATGGACCCACTTAAGTTAGCTAAACCTAAAAATACTTCCTCCAACATATGAAGTTTTCCCAACTCTTTTGGTATTACACCTGCGAGCCAGCAAGCCAAATTGAATAAATATGCAAGCAGATAATTGTGAGAATATGATTATAGTGACATATATCCAAATAGATGATAGATATTCTGATTTTCATTTAGAATTATTTTAATAGTTTTCTAGTTTTCTGGAAAATTGTTTCTTGTTTTCAAAATGAAAACTATGCTAGTAAACATGTTTTCTGTTCTCTGTGTTCTTCAATTCTCCAATAAAGTTGGAGAAATTTTTTAGTTAGTAAACATGTCATTTGGTTCAGGTTTCAGAATCCCCCGTTGCAAAAAAAAAAAAAAAAAGGTCTTGAGGGAAGAAAAAACAATGTTTTATAGTGAGGACAAATTAGGAATCAAATTGTTTTTTATTGTCTTGACTTAACAATGAGGTACGTTACGTACGAGGGACGGTTGACATATAAATTAAGGGGGTGTATTCAATCATGACTTTCATAGAGTTTTAAAGATTTTTATGAACTTTAAAAGTTTGGGGGTATTCAATTCAAACTTTTAGATAGTCTTTAAAAGTCAGGCGGTATTCAATTAAGACTTTTATAGAGTCTTTAAAAGTCATGTGGTATTCAAAAAGTTATGAACTTTTGTAGACTTTTTAATTTTAAGACTTTTGTAGACTTTTCCTTCTCAAATATAAATAGTTGAAATCCAACCATCAACCCCAAGATTTCAAAATTTTCTTTCTAACAACTTTGAATGTTTTCTCTCTATACTTAAACTCTATTTTTCTCCCTATTTAAACTTTATAAACCTATCTAAATTTAATAAAATTAATTTTTTCTTCATTATCCCATATTTTCCTCATACCTAAAACTCTACCAATTTTTTTTTCTCTCTCCTAAACTTTACAATCTTCCTCTAAAAATTCGAAATAATATTATTTTTACTTCATTATTGCTTGTTTATATTGATTTTTATGTTTTCAATGAATTTTTTATCCCTAACTTTCTCTAATTCTCCCTAAATACATGAACAAAGCAAATTTTTCATCATCAAATTTTAGTATATGTTTCGTAATATTCATATAAATACTTATATATTTTGATTTTTATTATTTTTATGTTTATATTCGTAATATATATTTTTCCTATTTTTAAAAAGTTACTACGAATAGCGAACTACTGTTCGCAACAATAATTTGGGGTTGCAAACAGTAATGGGCCGTATTGCAAATAATAGTTCTTTGTGTGATGCCTAGCAATATATCAGTGTATATATATATATATATATATATATATATATATATATATATATACTAGTATTTACCCCTTGCAATGCACGGACAAAAATTTATAAGTATTGTTGTAATGTTATGATACAAAGCAGAATTAATTTTATTAAAAATGTAAGTATAGTTATACATTATAATATTTAAATGTTAAGACAATATATGACAAAAATGCATTCATATTGCTAATGTGATTTGAAATAATGATCTCACAAAGTTAAACGGGTAGAGAAAGACACAGATCACCTCGTGGTTTACACACAAGAAAAATAATGATCTTACAAATCTATTAATATGCATTCACACTTAGGCGAGAAACTCTTTTCCCTACTTAATTTTACTTTGCCTAACTTTGTTTGTAAATAAATTATTACAAAACTAATCAAAATTACAAACTATTAAAAAGTTAGTGTGTATATATATATATATATATATAAAATCAAAATTGATATATAATACTCGTAGGCAAAAATTAATTCATGATTACATGAATTTATAAATTTGTACACATTTTTTATCTTGCATCTTTGTGTTGTATAAACTCAACAATCTCTTTCACACACATACACACACACACACACACACACACACACACACACACACACACACACACACACACATATATATATATATATATATATATATATATATATATATATATATATATATATATATATATATATATATATAAAGATTTATGATGATTATGAAGTTCCTAAACCCTTGATATTCCATAACTCTCAAATGTATCAAATGGAGGGAAAAAATTTTCACATTGATTCTGCTATATTATATATAGAGATATATTAATTTTTTTTTTTAATTTTATACAACTTGTAATTATATTTTTAAATATTTTATTTGATCAATTCTTTTATTATAAATTTTATTATTCAATATTGTTATGAATTTCTAATGAATTTTTTTTTTTATGTTTATTAATAATATATATAAGTAATTAGCATATAAGTCTCAACCTACATACTATGGAGATAAATAATAATGTTGATGTGGGTGAAGAACTATATAATAAGAAAATTTTATGATATATTATAAATATTTTGTAAGAAAATTATATAAATGATAAGAATCAAAATCATTGAAAGTTTGTAAGGATGTATTCAATTTAGAATTTCAATGACTTTTGCAGACTTTTTAAAATAAAAAGTTGATAAAAGTCTATGAATGTTTTTTATATAGACTTTTATAGAGTCTTATAAAGTTTTAAAAAGTTTTGAACGACTCTATGAAAATCAATCAAAGTTTATTAAAATCTATCATTTTAAAAGTCTTTAAAACTCTACAAAAGTCATGATTGAATACACCCCCTAAGAACACGCAAACTTTGACAAGGCACATATATATGATGAACCAATATAGTTAATAACACTACCATTATTATTTTTACACATATATTATTAGGTACTGCTCTTAACAGAGAAATGTAAAATTAGTAATATAATATGCTCATGAATTTAACTTATATAGACACATCTTCATATTAATGTAAGTCTGGAAAACAGTATTAACTAATTAAATAATGTTATTTATTGCAAATTTATAAAACGTACAAAATAGCCAACTATCATGTAGTGTGATGACATCTGAATTATCCATCTAAGTGGATGGTCAAAGGTTTGAACCCTGGTGGTGGGGGCTTAGATTCTTTGTGCTATTTAAAAAATAAATAAATAAAATAAAATAAAAGGTAAAAATAACAATTTTAGTTCATTAATTGTGACCATAGTGTAAATATAATCTCTAAGTTATTCAGTAATTCTTTTTAAGTCAAAATTCTTGTTCCATTAATTAATCCCCTAGCCAATGATTCCCAAGATTTCTTCTCCTGAAGATAAACTTGATGGGATTTCACCCTAAATTTGTTCAACAGCATATTAAATATTTGGAGTTTAGGAAAATGATTCCCAAAATTAAGGGGAAGTTTACCAAATAAGATATTAGCGAAAAGAGATAGGTACATTTACCTAATCGATATTTGTATAGTGCAATCCAAGTATCATGAAGGTAGTCATGAATGATTCCAATTCAATTATAAGAAGATATCTTTTTAATTGATCAATTATGAGCAAAAAAGATTGAAGAAAATTTTGATTTTGGAAAAATAAAGGCATGCAAAATTGCAGTTTACAGCTGCGAACTTTTTGTGGTTACCACTATTATTTATTATTTAGCAACATAGCACTGGACGTACCTCCTAAGTTGTTGGCTGAAAAATCTAGCCCCTTAAGTGCAGTTAAGTTGCCAATTTCCTTTGGTATGCCTCCTGAGAGAAGCAAAGAGAATACATTTAGGGTTATTATTTATTTTTATATACAAATTTGACGTAATTTCAACACTAAATTTTTTTCCTAGGTATATTAAAATTTTGTAGTATAGGGAGATGATTTTCAAAATGAAGAGGAAATTCACCAATTAAGTTATTAACTAAAAGAGATTGAATTTTCAATTTACACAAGTTTAAAATATTCAAAGGAGAAGGCCCATTAAAATAATTATAACTCAACTATTTTAATTAGGTAGTATCTAATTAAGTTTTTATAAAAGTACCATAAAGTACGTTGTTAGCTAAATCAAGTAAGTCCAAGGATGACAAAGCCCCTATCTCCTTTGGAATAGCACCTACAAATGATTTACATATCAATAAACAAAATATTAGTAAATAGGAGAGAAATCAATTCATCTATATATTATGAACCTGTCCCACGAATATGAATATTTATACGTACAGTACCGTTTGAAATAATAAATATTTATACAAATTTGTTGAAATTTCAACACTAAATTTGTTCCTAGATATATTAAAATTTGGAGTATAGAGAGATGATTTCCAAAATGAAGAGGAAATTCATCAATTAAGTTATTTAACTAAAAGAGACAGAATTTTCAACTTAATTAGACAAGTTTAAAATGTTCATAGAAGAAGATCGATTAAAATAATTAAAACTCAACTATCACTACTGGAAATTATGGAATTCCGACCACCTAAAAGTGATCTTAAATCAAGTCGAAAGCCTTGTTCCGACCACTTTTGGTATTCGAAAAAACCTTTGTTGCTATTTCCGACCACTTTCTGATATCAACTTGATTTAAGATCACTTCAGGTGGTCGGAAATTCTATAATTTCTAGTAGTGTATAAGTAGTATCTAAATTTTATATAAAAGTACCATCAAGTCTATTGTTAGATAAATCAAGTTCGCCCAAGGATGACAAAGCCCCTATCTCCCTTGGAATAGCACCTATAAATAATTTACATATTATCAATAAACAAAATATTAGTAAATAGGAGAGAAATAAATTCATCTATATATTATGAAGCTTTCCCACGAATATAAATAACTCTACAATTATTTATTTTGCACTTATATATTAGTTATCGTTAATAATTGAAATATGTAAAATGGGTAAAAATGTATGCTTATCAATTTAAATAATTTATATAGACACATATTCAGATTAATGTAAGTTTGTAAAGTTGTATTAACTAATTAAATTAAATAATGTTGTTTATTACAAATTTATAAAAAGTATAATATAGAAAAGAAAAGAAAAAAGGTAAAATAGTTAGTTGTTTTAGTTCATTAGTTGTGACCATTGTGTAAGTATAATCTTTGAGTTATTTGGAAAGAAACGGAAGTGATCATCTAGTAACATTATTTTGATAGTATTTAATTTATATATAGATATAAAGAGGTATAAGTCAATTCGTTATTAATTAAATAAATATAATGTACATATTGCAAAGCACGAATCCCATTTGGAATTACACCTGAATATAATTTTTGTATTAATTAATAAACATGTGTTATACAAAAGCAATAAATTTAGTGATCTATTTGACACTTGTTTATATGTAATGTGGATTTAACCTCTCAATTAGTCTTCATTGTACAATTGTGTCTAGTGCAATCTTCTTTGGAGTTTAAGGAAAAAGGTAGACATATGCTGGGTTTTGGCCGAACCACTTAAAAAATCTCTCTTTTTGCACTTTATATTTCAAACATAAACAACTTAACCTAAATTTATAAAAGATTAAATAAGTGCAAACAAAATAAAAAGGGGTAAAAATATATTTTCCGTTGCGTACTTGATCTAAATTATTCTAAGGTTAAAGTTTAATTGAGCCAAGGAATGATTTGCAATAAGTTTAGTGGCCTATTTGACATTTAATTATTCCTTTGTAGTGTAGATTTAACCTTTCAATTTTTATGGCAATTTTAATTTAAAGAGTTCAACTAAGTGATTAAATTAATTACACAAAAATATATAACGAAGACCAAAAGTGACATTTTCGTTAAAAAATTATTAATATAATTTATAAGTATCTACTTAATTTGATATGTTTAAATGTTTAAGAGTTACTTAAGTTGCTTAAAATAAACTAATAAGAATGTGTATAGCACTCTACCTTTCTGCTTATTGTCTCAAACAAAGCGAAATGTATTTATATAAGTATACGGCACAATACTGCAAAAAAAAAAAAAATTACATATGAAGTAGTTTATAGGGAAAATTGTAAAAAATACCCCTCTATAATACGTCAATTATCAATGTCACCCCTGAATTATGAGTGGTGTAAATGTTGCCCCTCAATTATCAAAATGGTGCACATATAGCCCCTCCCGTAATGGACATGTGGTTCCCCACCGCTGTCCATCGCTAGTACTTCGAATCGAGGGAGGGAAAAAACAACTAAATTACATATTTACTCCGATTTAACGGTGTCATACACTAACGGGGAACCACATGTCCGTTACGGGAGGGGCTATATGTGCACCGTTTTAATAATTGAGGGGCAACATTTGTATCACTCATAATTCAGGGGTGACATTGATAATTGGCATATTATAGAGGGGCAGTTTTTACAATTTTCCCTAGTTTATATACATACCTGTTAACTGATTGCTACCAAGATATAACATCTCAAGCTTTGTTAAGTTTCTAAATTCTCTTGGTACATGCCCACTAAAATTATTGTCAGATAGAGATATAGTTTGAAGCAATGAACATTCAGATAAACTTGATGGGATTTGACCACTAAATTTGTTAGTATGCATGTTAAATGTTTGAAGTTTAGGAAGATGATTCCCAAGATAAAGGGGAAGTTCACCGAATAAGCTATTAGCTGAAAGAGATAGAGTTTCTAACTTAGACAAATTTAAGATGCCCAAAGGAAAAGATCCACTAAGATGATTAATGCTCAAATTTAACCACTATAGTTGGGGAAGATTGCCTATTTCTCTTGGAACACTCCCTTCAAGAGAATTAATTCCTAAATGTAAGACTTCAAGTTTTGAAAGATTAAAAAGGGACGTGGGAAGAAAACCACTAATGCTATTATTCCCCAAATACAAAAATCTAAGGTTAGGTAAGAGACCAAACCAAGATGGAATATTCCCACTAAAGTCATTGACGCTACACTGAAGACTTTTGAGGCGTCGCAGTTGAGAAAGCTCTCGAGGAAAGGAATTGTGAAAATTATTTTGGCTCAAGTCAAGTGAAACAAGAAAAGAAAGGTTTCCCAAGTCTGGAGTTAATTCTCCAACAAGACCCATGTTGGAAAGATCCAAAGCAGACACTCTATTGTGACGAGAGTTGCAAGTGACTCCAATCCAACTACACGGAGTCATGCTGTTAACAGACCAATTATCAGCTAAAATTCTATGAGGATCAAAAGAAATTTTTGATTTTAGAGAAAGAAAGGCATGTTTGTCGGTGGTAATGTTGGTATGGGCATTAATATAATGGTTAAGCAAAGCATTAGAGAGTGCAAGAAGAAGATGGATAAGCACAAATAATGGCGAGTGATCTCCATGGATTGACACAATCTATTATGTAAGCAAGTTTTCAGCTTTGATGAAAATGACATATTAGCTGAGTGCTTTTTATAGGCATAGTGGCCTGGTGGAGGGAAATTTCTCAAATCCAATATTGTAATTGATTGATGAGACATTGAGACGTTTCTCCGTAACTCACGAAGAAGACCAATACCGAATTCCATAGCAGTTCCCAATAGTTTTGAGGCATGTTTGGTTCAAGGAACATGTTAGAAATGAAATAACATTCTTAAGAATAAACTTATTCCATTTATTTTGATCAGAGTAATAGGTGATCAGGAAAGGCCAGTGATTAAAAAATTAATTAAAATTGTAAGAAAAAAATTAACCAAGTCGATTTAATCACAAAATAATAGTTTTCGTATAAAGTATTACATTTATGCTATAAAGTATATTATATATAAGGCTTAAAGTATTTATAATATTTGCAATTCGGTTATGTTATTAATTACTTTATTCCCTTAAAATGTGTATTACATTTATGCTATAAAGCATTATATATTTATATATAAGGCTTAAAATATTGATTATATCTTCAATTCTGTTATGTTATTACTTTATTACCTGCAAATCGAGTACAATTTTACTATAAATTATTACATTTATGATATAAAGTATTATATACAAGACTTCAATTAAAGTATTGATTATATATGTAATTATATTTTGTTATTAATTTATTTCATGCAATTGTGTATTAGAGTTGTACTACAAAGTACTACATTTATGTTATATAATGTTATATATTACTAGGTATTACTCTTTCTTTGTAAATTGTCTATTACAGTTTTTCTTCCAAAAGGCTGAACCCCAACCCTAAGGCCCCCTACATCCCGATCCGACAGAGCATTTGGGAGGATGTAAATCATGGTAACTCAACTGAGGCTAGACCACCACTCAATTGTCTATTACAGTTTTTATATATATGAAGTATTACATTTATGATATAAAGTATCTTTATCTTTATCTTTATCTTTAATAAAGCAGAATCTAGCCACAAAATTTTCCCTCCAAAGTGTGAATATATTTTAATTTGATAGAAACAAGATTAGCAAGTATGAATGCATTAGTTGTGTGGGTAGATGTATGTATTTAATAAAGCAGAATCTAGCCACAAAATTTTCCCCTCCAAAGTGTGAATATATTTTAATTTGATAGAAACAAGATTAGCAAGTATGAATGCATTAGTTGTGTGGGTAGATGTATTTATACATATTTTTTGAAGTTATTATGTGTATTTTTATTTTATAAATTATATTTTATTATTATAGGTATATCTCTATCTCTATCTCTATATATATTAAAGCATAATGAAGTATGAAAAAAAGTTTATTGTGTTCAAATTTATTGGTAAAGTTTTATATTTAATATAATTTGTGTATATATTCATTTAACCCTCAATTATAATTAATTTTACTCCACATATATAAACATGAGAAATTAGATATAAAATAAATATAGTTCTTACATAAATAATCTTTTTCAAATGAAAAAGTTTTTGGTGGAGATTTTCGACAAATATCGCCTGTTATTTTATTTACAAGTTTTATTTAAATACGTTAGTTATATAATTAAAGTAGTTATTTCAAATTCAAATTCCATTAAAAAAATTCAAATTCAAATAATAATAATACAAGTAACAATAAACTTTAAAATCAACATAATAATAGTATAATTAAATTTAAAAAATATTAAATATTACATTGTATAGTTATACTTACATTTTTAATCAAACTAATTCTGAGCTCAAGAACTTAAGTACATCTTTCTGTTTCCACAATCATTACTTTTTTTGCTAATTCAGAAGATGTCAAAATTTTAATTGGTAAATTTGTTAAATTCATAATAATTCATGCATCGCACGAGACAATTACTAGTTATATATAGGCTCTGTTTGGCAAACCTAGCTGAAAAGCTATAAGCTAGGAGCTGAAAGCTGAAAAGGAGCTGAAAGCTGAAAAGCTATAAGCTCGGAGCTGAAAACTGAAGAGCGGTTAAGCTAGCTGTTATGATTGAAAATGTTTGGTAAAATTAGCTTTTTGATAAGCTGATAAATGTAAAAAGACTAAAAAGGACATCTTCATAAAATTTAAATTAGTTTGTTTACATATTAAAATTTAACATTTTGTCTTTAAAAAAAAAATTAACATTTTGAAATAAAACTATTAGCATAATCATAATCTAGCATCTTTTAATGAATTGAAGTAGCAATATTGTTGCAAATCTCATAATAATAATAATAATAATAATAATAATAATAATAATAATAATAATAATAATAATAATAATAATAATAATAATAATAATAATAATAATAATAATAATAATAATAATAATAATAATAATATTTGCGGTGAAAATTGCGGATAAAAGGAGAAGCGAAAAAGGTTTTAATTGGGAAGGGTAAATTATGTCATTTTTTTTAAAATAATAAGGATAAATATGGAAAAAAAGTTAGGAAGCTAGGAGCTTATTTTGAAACGCTACCTAAGGTAGCGTTCCAAAATAAACTCTTATTTTAAGCTAGGAGCTGATTTTGGGAACATTACCAAACAAAGCTTATAGCTTATTAGTAGCTTAAAATAAGCTATAAGCTCTTAAATAAGCTCTGCCAAACAGAGCCATAAAGCTTAAATTATTTATTTGTAACTCATTTTTATTATATCCGACATGTGTGACTATTGAGACTCGATCATGAGAAAATCTCACAGGAGACTAATCCTAAATTAAATTACTAGCTTGACAGCTTCAATAGACAGATGTTTAACACTAAACTATAAATATTTTGGATTAATATGTATTTTTGTATTCTGAAAATACACATTAGATTTTCCCCTCTGATCCTCGTTAGTCAAAAATTGTTTTGGTTCTGTATTTTGGAATACTTAAGCCCGTAAAACACTCCAAATTCGTTTAAAATTCGTGTGGAAAACTGAAAGGTTCACAAGGTCTTGTTAGTCAATTGCCTTGACACTTTTGGTAATATTGTCCGATTCTTACGTAAATGTTTGCTTTATCCAACATCTTTCATTAATTTCAAATATGAACATCAAGAAACATTGCGATGAACAATCAATAAAAGTTATTTCAAGTTTGGAATACTTAAATATCACCCGTAAAACACTCCAAACTCGTTCAAATTTCTTGTGGAAAACTGAAAAGGTGATGTGAATGTATTTTCTATTAAAATAAGAAAAACTTTATGGGGCGTTTGATTGGAGGGAGGAAATTACGTGAAAAATGAATTGCAATTTCATGGGAGATGAATTACTGGGAATAAAGTAGAAATTTAAATTCTAGTGTTTGGTTTACAGGAATAAGTTTATTGGGAATTTCAATTCCAATATTTGGTATACATGGGAATTAAAAGGGAAAAAGTAGTATAAAGTCCAAAATGTCCATTGTTCTTGTAAGACATCAATTTTAGGTTAAAAAAGAGGAGGGGTAATTTTGTCTCATCATTATCTTTTTTTCTTCCTAAAACCTGGGGATGACAATTCTACCCGCACCCCATGGGTTCCCCGCATCCCAGTCCTTACGGGTTTTAAAATACCCGCACAATTTGGATAATGGGTGCGGGTATGGAGGAAATTTTGTATACCCTCGCGGGTATGGGGCGGGTGCGTGGGGAGGTATCCCGCCCCGCACCCGCACCCGCACTTATATATATTGTTATTAGTATTTATTTATTATATAAATTTATGTATATTTTATAATTAAGAATGCATAATGAATTAAACTTCTTAGTTTTTTATTTATGAAAATTGAATAGGAACAACACAAATAACATAATGAGTAAACACTTAATACAATTTATACTATGAACAAAATTTTAGTTCCAATTAAGGACTAACTTCATTGGCTCTTATTAAATTTTAGAGTTATGTTCAAACTTATAAAAAAAATCCATGTGATAATTAGAATTGTAGTATAAAATTTTTATTAGATTTAAGTGTAATATTAATAATTATAGTTGCGGGTTGGGTATTACCCGCACCCGCAAAATCCCCACGGGGGCGGGTACCAGCGCGGGTGCGGGGAGTGGGTTGGGAATGCGGGTGTTGGGGCGGGGGATATATCCACCGCTCCCACCTTGCCCCATTGTCATCCCCACTAAAATCTATGGAATTAAAATCCCAAGGGGGACATGGATTTGAATTTCATGAAAATGAGGGAATTACAATTCCGTGAAATTGCAATTCTTTCCAACCAAACTAAGGAATTTAGTGGTCTTTGGAATTAGGTGGGAATTAAGTGGAAATGAAATTTAAATTCCTTCTACCCAAATACCATGTTAGTGTTTAAAAATTTTACCCCTTCACCAAGTTTCTCCCTTGTTGGTCCTAGTAGGGTCGAAAGAGAGTCTAGAGGGGGGGGGGGGGGGGGGTTTGAATAGACTCTAATCGATTTTTCAAAGCGACTCCTTTCAGAACGATGCACAACGGGAATAATGTTTTGTCTTAGATAGTCTTTGCACACTTTCGTAAAAAAAAAAAAAAAAAACTTAGCGTTTGGTCGATATGAGATGCATTGCACAAAAGTAATATAGCGGAATGTAAAGAGATAGAGAGATTTTTATAGTGGTTCGACTGTTAACAAAACCTACTCCACTCTTCTTCAACAACTCGTGAAAGGGTTTGCATTATCACTCCTAGTACAAACTACTTCAAGCTGGCTTCCTTGATCACTAAGCTGGACAGCCACTTGAAAGGTTTATCAACTCCACGAGTTTACTCCGCCTCTATCAACTTCTTCCTAAGTTAACATGTTGGAAGGATAATCTAATGTTTCTCCAACAGGTTGAAGCCTTGTCTTGAAGTCTGGATGAATCTTCACTTGAGAAATTACAAGACGGCTTCAAGTTGTGAAGTATGGAAATGAATATGCCTTTGAAAAA